CGAGGGTCGCGGGGCAACTCTAAAAAGCCGGGCGCGGCGGCGGCGGCGGCGGCGCCCTCATCGACGGGCTGCTCCGGCTCGTGCGTATCTCGCTCTGAGCTGCGTACCATTATGCGTGAGGAGCTTCAAGGATTAATTGTGAAGGAGTGCGTCAAGGAGCTAAGGGTGGACATAAACCGAGAATTAAAGGCGTTTAGGGCAGGGCCGGATTAAGCTTCTCGGGGCCCTTAGGCACAGCTCGTTTCGGGCCCCCCCTTTTTCATACCACAACAACGCAATTTGGAAATGTATACTGTCTACATTACGAAATAGAATGAAGGTACCATCATCATCAACAACAGGCTTCAGTCATCACATTACAAAGGTATACGCCCCTAGTCCTTCAGTGAAAAGACTTTCGCCACAATCTACAGGACGAAGTATCGGAGTCATTTAAAAATGAAACAAAGAATAGGAAAATCTTGCATATTTTTATAAAACTAACATAAACATTAAAAAATTAAAATGTACATTATAGTCATGTAAACCAAAGCAGTAATGCCAACCAGGCCAGTAGAGTAAGACATGAAAATCAATCAAATCGGAAATAATTGTTACAAAAGGTTTTATTGTTTTAACTAGCTTTTGCCCGCGACTTCACCCGCGTGAAATTTCCTTTGTCACCGATCGTCATATATTATAGCATATGTTATTCTGGGTTTAAAACAATATAACTTTAAAGTTTCATAAAAATCCATTGAGTAGTTTTTGCGTGAAAGAGTAACAAACATCCAGACATCCAAACTTTCGCATTTATAATATTAGTACTCGTAGGATGGCTTCATTTGTTGCTCTTTAAGACTATCCTAGGTTTTCGACTTTGACGGAGGTGTGCTTAAGTGGTGGGAAATTTTTGCGGTTTTACGGATATACCGTGTAAAGGACTTGCAGTATCGAAAACTGATCTTCATGACGATTGAAGGGCATTTAATTCTGCATTGAATAATACCAAATTCATATATTTTGGACAAACCGTTCCCGTGCCTATCTTCGACAAAGTAGAAAATATGGTATCCTTCATCCAATATGGTATCCTTCCGTTTGGCCAAATTACTTTTCGCCAAATTTCACTTCGCAAACAACTTATCGCCAAAGTTTCATTTCCCAAATGAACTTTTAGCAACTGTACTTTTCGCAACTAATTCATTTGGTCAAATTATCATTTGGCAAAATTTCCCTTGGCAAATGTTTACATAGCAAATGTTTTATTTTGCCAAATATTATATCCCAAATAATATGTGCATCTTAATTAATTAAAAATCATACATTTTAATTACAAAATGAAGATAAATTCATAAATGGACTGCATGCAATAGTCCGTGATCTTACAAAACTCGACGAAATAGGACCTCACTGTACCTCTAGCATGAACAACTTTCGTCTTCGAATCGTTTGCGTATTCGACAAAATTCGATACTCAACCTTCGAATTAAACGACAACGTGACAATAATTTTGATTCTCAAAATAAGTTTCATGCAACCATTTCTCATACTAAGTTCACTTTACGACACGTTCATAGGGGCGCTGTTGTAGTTTTCGTACTAAATCTTTTGATGGCGATTCGAATACGCAAACGATTCGAACTCGAAAGGTTTTCGTGCTAGCCGTACTTTTCGTGCTAGCCGTATTGTACTAATCTGAGGTACTAATTTAGAAAAGGGTCTACTATACTAAGTCACATGCATTGTGGCCCCGCTTGTATTATTTCACCACAAACTGATATTGAAACCGCAATTTCAATCACATTACTTAAATTGAGTTTTAGATGAAATCATTTGTAAGTGGGTATTAATTACGTGTAAATGGGCATTAATTACCTACTCTATCTTAAGACGCCAACTTGGCTCATGAAGTGTGAAACGTAGGTTGATGGCCTTCATAACAGAATATAGTGTTATTAATCAATTATTTATTAAGATGTATTAAATTTTTACAGATTAATAACTTACAATCTTACACAAGTTATCGAATCATCATGGATTGCGCCGCTTGTCAGTCAACTATAAAAGACTGCGATTGCTTGGAATGCAACTTTTGCTCATCATCATATCATGGCTTGTGTGTTGGTATATCGCCGTCCGATCTTAAGAAGCTTACTCGCGACGCTAAAGCGGGCTGGCTGTGTCCGGAATGTCGCAACAGAAAACCGCGAGGTGACAACACAAATACGCCGGTCCGCCCGACAACACCGCATTGCGCGGGCGCTAGCGCGAATGTAACTTTAACCCGAGGGTCGCGGGGCAACTCTAAAAAGCCGGGCGCGGCGGCGGCGGCGGCGGCGGCGGCGGCGGCGGCGCCCTCATCAACGGGCTGCTCCGGCTCGTGCGTATCTCGCTCTGAGCTGCGTACCATTATGCGTGAGGAGCTTCAAGGATTTGTGAAGGAGTGCGTCAAGGAGCTGAGGGAGGACATAAACCGAGAATTAAAGGCGTTTAGGGATGAGGTAGTTTCTTTAAAGGAATCAGTCAATTTCATGAGTGAGTCTTTTGATAAACTGACATCCGATGTAAACACTTGCAAAACTAAAATAGAAAATATAATCAAGGAGAAAGATTCACTTCGAAACGATATTAATGTCATCACCAATCGTTTTAATCAACTTGAACAGATTTCCCGGGCTACAAATCTCGAAATACAATGCGTTCCTGAGCGAAAATCTGAAAACCTGCTTTCACTAATTAAACAACTGGGTAAAACAGTATCCTGTCCTGTAAACGAGTCTGAAGTCTTTTATTGCTCGCGCATTGCAAAAAGGAATCCGGATAGCAACAGACCCCGCTCAATCCTAATAAAACTCAACAACCCTCGCATGCGTGACACGCTCTTGGCTGCCACAATAAAATATAATAAAAATCACCCTCAAGACAGACTGAACACGGGACACCTCGGCATCGACTCCGAGAGGAGAACAGCTATTTTTGTTACCGAAAATCTTACGCCGGATAATAAGGTTCTTCATGCGGCGGCGCGTGCGCGGGCTAAAGAGCTCCAATATAAACATGTGTGGGTTCGTGGAGGTCGCATTTATATGCGAAAAACGGACACATCGGAGTACGTTCTGGTGCGCAACTCTATGACATTGGAAGCTCTAACATAGAATAAGTTACAATTAACTTACAATTTATCTTATTTTAAGTGTACTATTTTTAAGGCTCAAAATTCTTCAAGTTAAAAATTTATTTTCAAAACGTACGAGGTCTTCGTACAAAGACTTCAGATTTTTACAAAAATGTTTTATGTTTCGATTACGATGTGATTGTCCTGTGCGAGACTTGGCTAAGTAGTACTATTTTCGATGGGGAGCTGTTTAGTGACCAGTATGTTGTGTACAGGCGCGACCGAGAGACCAGCAAATTTCATTCCGGGAAGATTGGTGGCGGGGTACTAATTGCGGTTTCTAAGCGCATTTGTTCTCGTAGGTTACCCCATTATGAAAGTGGCTGTGAGGATTTGTGGGTGGAACTAGATACAAACGGTAAGAGCAACTGCATGAATAGGTTGTTGTTGTGTGGAGTTTATCTCCCTCCACCCATTCAGAAACATATTCTGGAGCATTATGCCGATAATACGAGTCGTGTGTTGGGATCTAATACTAGGGCTCTAATTTTGGGCGACTTCAATTTAAGTAACATAGCATGGAACAATAATGATACTTCTTTGTCACCTAATTATATAGCAAATAGCGCATTGGACAATATCTTATTAGATTTTATAGCGTTTAACAACTTCACACAGCATAATAATGTACAAAATCATAAAGGTAAAATTTTAGACCTCATTCTCTCTAATGTTGCCCTCAAGGTTAAACAAAGTGACCAGCTCTTAAGTATCCTAGACCCGTACCACCCACCCTTAGAGTTATCTGTCCCATTTAGCGATCCCCCTAGGTTGCCGCACGTCATCCCAAACCACAGATTTAACTTCTACAAAGCTGATTATGAGAAAATAATAGCCGATCTGAGCTCTGTGTCCTGGGAATACGAGCTGGCATCTTGTTCCACTATAGATTCAATGGTGGAGCTATTCTATAGTTTAATAAGAAACTCAATTACCAAAAATGTCCCAAAATTAAAGCCACCTTCAAAAAAATTTCCGGTCTGGTATAGTAAGGAACTTATTCGTCTTTTGAACAATAAACACAAGCTGCGAATTCGATACCGTAAATATAAAAATCCGTTAGATGACCTTGCGCTGTGCACACTCAAGAAAAGATGCTCGGAGCTGATAGAGATATGTTATAAAAAATATATCCAGAATTTGGAGCTATCGCTGGCTGAAAATCCAAAACTGTTCTGGACACATCTGAAAAATAAGAAACGAAACAGTAATGCCTATCCAGCAACCATGACTTTTGGCGATAATAGGGCTGAAAATGGTGACAGCATTAGTAACCTCTTTGCCTCATTTTTCTCATCTGTCTATAAAACTAGCTCCATCGTGCAGACAGGCAGTGATGATAAAATTATCACCACAAATTACCTAAGTAGCATCCAGTTTTCACAGGAAGATGTGCATAGAACTCTAAAGGCCCTAGATCGAACGAAGGGAGCCGGACCAGATGGTGTGCCCCCCCTATATGCGATAAAGTGCAGCAAAGTATTGTCATTGCCTTTATCAATCATTTTCAACTCCTCTCTAAGGGCAGNCCTGGGCCGGGTCATTGGACGGGATTCTACGTGCTCACCGGACCAGGCTTTAGATCGATCGTTTCATCCACGAAGACGCGCCACACCATTCTTCTGCTAATGAGTGTTATCGGTACACTCTAAATTATCCATAAGTGCACACGCACACTACAATAATGACGCTCGGATCAAACTTCTCGCACCCCGTGCTTCCCTCGACAAAAAATTGGTTGGGCGCGTCTTCGTACATGAAACGATCTATACTATCGACTGAAGAGGACGAGGGTTGACCGCCGGATTCGGCGACATCATCAATTTGGTAGCACTATTTTCTCGCGCGGCATTATTATTTAATTGCGGTGTGATGTCGATCCAAGAGTAAATAGGTAAATCCGAAGCGAGTGCAACTCACCATGCAGATTGTTGGTCTCGGCAGCGTCGACGCGGAGGTCGTACAGCTCCCACTCCGGCCGGTAGTAGTACTGCTTCAGCGTCTTGTACCACGGCAGCGGCTGCTTGCCGCGCGTGCGGTTCAGGATATCCTAAGCATTACACTTTCAGTTTAGGTATGTCAAGTGAGGGTAACAAAAAACATTTATAGATAATCGTTATTATCGTGACTTATATTTGCTTATGGTAAGTTATGGTCTTGTCACCTATTCGCGTTCAAACTTCGTTTGTAGATAGTGAACGCGAGTAAGGCTCTAGTTTTGACAACGCCTGCAAGCAAAGAATATGAATAGTACCTGGAAGGTGGGCGAGACGTAGAGGTCCTGGTCGATGGGGAAGGGCATGGCGAAGTTGAGGTTGTGCACGAGCTTGTGGCGGCGCGTGCGCACGCCGCGCATCGGGTAGTACATCGTCACCTCGTGGTGCGTCTGCGACAGGAACACCGCCTCGTCCGCCGACGGCGCGGGCTCTGCCGACCAGCCAATACATTATTATCTAGCAGAGACTACTTATAGGGTTATGAAGAGATCAAAATAAGGTAGGAATTGTGAAAATGTTAACGAATAATTATTGAGACTGACCCTTCTCCAATATAGGCAGCAAACTCTTCGGCTGGTCGGGCCCCCAGATCTCGTTGCTTTGCACCTCGTCTCTTGCGATCCCGAACCAGTCCAGCACCGTGGGCATGAGGTCCAGCAGGCTGACCATGGCGCCCGAGGCCTGGTTGCGGCGCGCCGTGGCCTCCGGGGACACCATGATCAGCGGCTCCCTGACCCCGGGGTCGTAGAAGTTGGTCCGCCCGGAGGGGAACGGTATGCCGTTGTCTGAAGTGTATATGATGAGCGTGTCGTCGCCGTGCCCGGCAGCTTCTAACTCCTTCAGGATAAGAGCGACGCCTGGTATAGGACGTTGATTCAGCATTAGATCAATGGTAAAGAGAACTACTTATTCTAACAAAGTGCTAATAGCTGGTACTTACCCTGATCCAGCCTAGACATCGTGGTGTACTGTGCCGCCACATCTCTCCTGGCCGCTTCCGTGTCCTGTAGGCATAATGTGAATATCACTTATTCACTACCTTAGTAGCATTAATTTCTAGGTCCGCTGTGAAATCAACTTTCTATTTTAACAAACATTTTATTCAAAGATTATTGGGTCTAAGTGCAATGGTTTTTAAATCTTTACGTTTTTAATTACTTTATGTACCTACCTGTATATGGAAGGGCAGCTGCACCTCGTCCCACTGGTAGTACCAGGGCTTCCAGTCGGGGATGAGCCCCATGCCCGGCTCGCCCGAGCCGAAGCGCTCGCAGAAGGGCCCGTACTGCGGCTCGCCGTGGCCGCAGCGGTGCGGGTCGTGGAAACCCACGTAGAGAAAGAAAGGCCTAAGAAGATAGACGTTACTTTTAAGATAAAAATGGAGGCACATACCTAATTTCCTACGGCATTTTTGTTGTACATTTTAAACTTGTGGGTAGGAGCACATTGACAAAATAGATTAAAAGACAAAAAAACTGACTTGTTTTTGGCATTGGCGTCAGCCAGGAACTCCCTGGCGAGCAGCTTGATGTGCGTGATGTTGCGGCCGACCTGGTCGATGTGGTTGTTCTCCTCAGTCTGCTCGTAGTCGAAGCGGTACACGTCGGCGGGGCCCACGTGCTTCTTGCCGATGATGCCTATGATGCATTCGTTCAATTCAAGTTCTTGCATATGTCAGACATACACAATAAAAGACAAAAGCTAGTGAAACAATAGCTACCGGTCATAACGCCGTGCTCGCGCAGCACGGCGGGCAGGCTGGACACGTTGTCGAAGGAGGAGAAGTGGTGCACGCCGTGGTGCAGCCCGTACATGCCATTCTGGTGGCTCGGGGTCCCCGTGAGCAGCGCCGCACGGCTTCGAAAATTACCGCAAATTATTATTTTATGAACCTTCTAAAACTAAATGCTTACTTTACTGCTGACCAAGTAATATAATTATTATCACAGGAGGCTAAATGTAGGTAGGCATTTTTAGTTTCTACGCCATGTATTATACGATACCTTGGCGAACAGCTGCTTACGGATGTAAATGCGTTGTTGAATATCACGCCCCTTCGTGCCAGGCCGTCTATATTCGGAGTCTGGCATATTTTGTTCATATATGCTCCGATTTCAAAGCCACCATCATCCGCTGTAAATACAACCAAAAAATACAAATTTTAAACTACCCATCTACTTCCAATAAAATTAATTAATCTGAGCTACTTACAACACACCTCTTTACAGCCCACCCAATGAACCAAAAATTAAATTACGAATTACGCGAACTTGTACAAAACTACAAACTACCCACCACAACTCCGCAAGTTTAGTCACAAGCATTTCTCTATGGTCACAAGTAAAAATGCATAATTTTTTTTCTTTAAAGACGTCACAAAATAATGTTTTAGAATGAAAGAAATAAAATATTTTTATTACAATTCGATACGATATGAATAGTATGTAAAATAATTTACTTAGGACAAAACGGAACGGTAGAAGACAAACAAAAAAAAACTGTGAAAGAACTGTCAAAATGATAACATTGACGTGAACTGACGTCGCCAAAAAAACCAACCGGATTTTCTAGCGATAAAGCTTTGATAACAGAATAAAAGTGTCAATAATTACGTATACGTACCTAATAATAACAACACATTTTTTGCCTTATTCGATAGTACTGTTTCTGTAACTATAATCAAAATCAAAAATAAAACAGTGGCCGGTGCTCGAGCCATGTTGTTAGCAGTGTTTTGAACTTTTGATTCAACGAGTGACGTGTCGGCGTGAAGTGTTGGCACTGCCGAGCTGAGTGCCGCTGCCCCTGCCAGTGTCGGTGCTCCAGTTATTGACCGCTCCCACTTTGCCTCCAAAATTCAAATAACGCCGCGAATTACAAAGTTATTGAAGATGTCGAGCCGGAAAAACGTGTTATTTTTGTTCGATGTGGATGGTACGCTGACCAAGCCTCGCCAAGTGATCTCAGAGGATTTAAAGTCATTTATACTTGAGCAAGTAAAAGCCCGAGTGGCGGTGGGCCTCGTAAGCGGGTCTGATTATGTCAAAATTGTAGAGCAAATGAGTGGAGAGCAAGTGACTAATCAGTTTGACTACGTATTTTGCGAAAATGGCGTGATGCAATACAGAAATGGGGAACTGAAGAGCACCCAGAGCATTCTCAAACATGTAGGTGAAACAAGATTACAAAAGCTTATAAACTTTGCTCTTGGTTATATGTCTAAACTAGAATTGCCTGCAAAAAGAGGCAATTTTATTGAATTCCGGTCTAGCATGATAAACATCTGCCCCGTGGGCCGGTCTTGCTCACAAGTAGAAAGGGATCAATTTTCAAAGTATGACATAGAGCATAAAGTGAGGCAAACATTTGTGGATGCACTGAAACAGCAGTTCCCTGACTATGGCTTGACATTTGCCCTCGGGGGGCAGATAAGTGTAGATGTGTTCCCCACAGGATGGGACAAAACGTATTGCCTGGATCATGTGGCTGATGCAAACTATGATGAAATACACTTCTTTGGTGACAAAACTGACATTGGGGGAAACGATTATGAAATCTACAACGATGCAAGAACTATTGGGCACAAAGTTACCTCTCCTGATGACACCAAAGAACAATTAAGAAAGTGTCTTAATATTGCATAAATGAGTTAAATAAATGCTTATTGTAAGAGCTTCATACAAAGAATAATAATATTGATAAGGATTGTCTAATTTCACAATGCTGGTTAGTGTGTTTAGTTCAATGGAGTTAACAAATAATATATAAATATGTAAATGTACAATTCTAATGTAAATACTTGTGTAGGTGTAACCTACTGTCTACAATACTTTACTATCAAGATAAGGAAACAAGTTTTTATATTACTAAGTCATTATTTATTATGCATTTTATATTAAATATTAATAAAGTATATTAAAGTAAAAAAATATTTTTAAACCCTCATACAGAAAATGGCATCCAAAAATATCAAAATATAAATTGGAACAATTTTATAACAACATTGTGATAAGATTACCACATAACAACAGCCACAGAAACCATTTTAATATTATCTACACAGGCCTATCTTATTACATAATGTTGATGTGTACAGTAGTAGTAATAATAAGGCAACCCTGGTTCCTCAGTAACCCTCATAAACAGGTTTCCTTTTTTCTATAAAAGAGATCATCCCCTCCTGTCTATCCTTGGTTGGAATGTTGACCTCATAGAACTTCTGCTCCACCTCATAACCGTCTTTGATCGTGAGCTGGATGCCCTCATTAATAGCTTGCTTGGCACACCGCAGTGCTATAGGTGCATTAGGAATGATCTCCCTCGCTAAACTGAGTGCCTTTTCAAAAGCAGCATTATTGTTGCTGTTCTGTGGCACAACATGGTTCACTAACCCTGAAATTATGATAAAATATGCAAATTAAACTTACAAAAATGTACTTCATGTATGCTTAATATGCAAATAAATAAATATTCAAATACTTCTTTTCAGCTAGACATTAAAATGATAACTTACCATATTCTTTTGCTTCTTTGCCATTAACTACTCTCGATGTAAATATTAATTCTTTGGCAATATTGAGATGGACAGTTCTGGGTAACCTTTGAGTGCCACCTGCACCAGGAATGAGTCCCCTGCCGGTCTCCACGAGGCCCAGCTTGGCAGTGTCGGCCGCCACCCGGATGTCGCAGGCCAGCGCCAGCTCCAGCCCGCCCCCTACGGCGACTCCTTCTACTGCTGCGATGGTGGGCATTGGGAGATCTTCCACTTCAATGAAAGTGCCTCGAAGGCCACGCACAAATGATGCCACCTCCTCATCGGACATTTTGAACCTCTCCTTCAAATTTGCACCTAGTCGAATAAGATTAAATTAGTATGATAGTAAATAAGTCACAATGTTTAGGTCTCTCTATCACTAACTTCCAATAACTCACCAGCACAAAATATCCCTGGTACAAAACTGTGCAGTATAACGACAGATATCTTAGTATCCTCGCGTAGCAATTGATTCACTTCCTTCATAGCCTTGATCAAGTCGAACCCTAAGGCGTTCCGGTCCTTGGGACTGTTGAGGCCGTAGACGGCGATGCCGCGGTCGGCCCCGGTCAGCTTTTGGAATACCACAAGCCCCGTGCTATCCAGCTGCGGCGTGGATTGCGTAGCCAGTAACCGAGCACTTACATTTTTTACCAAAACTCCTAAGCGAGGTAATCTAGAGGACAACATTTTTGTTGATTTTTTACCTCTGCCTTAATTATTTTTAATCAGTGTAGTATATCGACAAGGCTTCTCAAGAATAATCTTATCAGTACCTAGTCAACAGCAGGCAAGCAAAGGCAAGATAACAAACAACTTCACACAAAAAGATACTTAAAAATTAAGTAAACAAACTTCAGCTGAGTGTGCGGCACACAAACACACACATTCATATATTTTTGACAGTTTAGTTTGACAAGCAAGCCATGTTTTTTCTTCTGAGGCCAAGGTAACCTTACCTATACTGCATTCAATTCCTTTGAAAATATAGTTCCAAAATACTTGACTGTCCTGTCGATGACATTGACAGTGGGGCGCCACCGTCAATACCGGATCGCTGGTTCCGATTTTTGCCATGTTGGAAACCATATAGTTGAACGATGGTAGCGCCCCCCTGTCATTGAGTTTGGTGGGACAGTTCAACGTGGGTCATCTATACTTTAGTTGGTTCTCGATGTTTTGTTTTTTTTGACGTGAAGTCGTGAATTGTCAAAAAAATAACCAAACAAAACTTGCTACAAATCAAATAAATCGATTTTAATTACTGAATACTAGTCATTATCAGTTCATATTCGTAAGAAATAATGGAAGAAAGCAAGCGCAGTGCAGCAGATCTCCAAGAAAACTGTTCGAAATATCAACAACCAATAGACCAAGTGATAGAAGACTCTGTGAGGATACAATGCATATTTCCATTAGATTTGTAACTTAATTCGTAATTAATGATTATTTTCACAATGTTCTTTTACAGTTAAAAAAACAAGTTTATCTGTGCAAACTAGACCCAGAAAGTGGTGTAACTCTTCATGTTCACCTTTTCAAGAACGTTCGGAATGTCGAAGATATACGGATGAACATATTGAAAGGTACCTGGAAATGTGCAATAATAAAGCCCGCCCTAATATTAGACCCATTGCAAATTGCCGTTGCTGCCAATAAAGCGGTGATCTCAGAGCAGCGCAATGCAATGACTACCAGAAATGTGTACACTGAAGTATTGTTCAACTTGTCTATCACCAAAAACATTGGACAGAGTCTGAACAAGTTTGGAATAGAGAAAGATACTGACATGCTAGTGTGCTTCTTGATAGCATCGGAAGACAACAGTGCTGAAATCTTATCAAAAATTGAGGGTGAAAGATGTCCTATTAGCAGCCTTATTGAATTTAGGGACTTAAGGAAAATAAAAAATGTGTACAAGTTTAATGGTTTAAAATGTGATGTTGATTTGCAAGAGATGTTAAACATTATTATTAGTAGAATGGTTACTAAAAATATAGTCTCATATTAAACAAAATAAATTAGTTATTTTATTTCTCAAACTTTTTATTAGAATTATAAAACTTAGGCTCGAGTTGCACCACCTTAAGAGCGTTTACGCCGTTTGGCGCAAAAACAGTACTTTTTCAACTCGTTACAATCATTAACCAGTAATACTACAAATATGTTATAGGCATAAATAGTTAGGCAATTTCGTCGTCTAAATAGTTAATTGAGAAAATATTGCGATTAGTTTAGCATTTAAGAATTCTATCCAGATAAGTCCACACAGGTTTTGTAAATTTCCACTTTAGTGTCAGTTTACAAGCTGAAATTTTTATAAAAATACTGTGAAAACGATTTAACAAACATATATATCCTATAGCATAGATCCTTGGGAAAATAGTTATCTGAGAAAATTTTTAGATTTAAGCATTTTACACTAAGAAATCACAAATTAAAAGAACGTGAAATACCCAAAAATCTAAGTGATTTTTTCACCAATATTCTTCCTTTATTCAACACAAAAATAGCTTAATACGCGATAAAGTTTTTCTGTGACAGACAAAATTCCACGCGGGCGAAGCCGCGGGCGGAAAGCTAGTTGTTTATAAACCAGATTAACATAATTATAGGCTATAATTTATGACGATACTAGCTTTCCGCCCGCGGCTTCGCCCGCGTGGAATTTTGTCTGTCACAGAAAAACTTTATCGCGCGCGTCCCTGTTTCAAAAACCGGGATAAAAACTATCCTATGTTCTTTCCCGGGACTCAAACTATCTCTATGCCAAATTTCATCAAAATCGGTTGCGAGGTTTAAGCGGGAAAGCGTAACAGACAGACAGACAGACAGACAGACAGAGTTACTTTCGCATTTATAATATTAAGTTGGGATGTGACAAATAAATTTCAATAAATAAATAAGACGTGTCTAAAAGCGCAATCTATCGTCATTAGTTAAAATCTACAGCGCTGGACAAACTACTGTTTTTGACGTTCGTGAATATTCATGCGGGGGAAGCCGTGAAACGCCATCTATCAACATGATATCAAACAACAGATTTTACGAACTAAGAAGTAAAACGAGGTCCACGCGTACGAATCTATATACAACGTGTCCCAAAATTCAAGGATAAGCCGGCGCCGCAGTTTGGACATAGTCATGACTACTTTAGGAAAAATAAGAAAAAAAATCTATCTCAATTATTTTTTAAGTTACACAATAAATTATGAAATTAGTCGAAAATTGACACCCCTTATGATATTTTACATTACCACGCCCACAATTTTTCAAATACTTCTGTTTTTTTGTTTGTATCGGCAACTTAAGTAGTGCTGCTGTCCACTGCAATTCTTAAAACCCTCATAATCCTTGCAGTTTTTACACAAAAGTTAATCAAAATATGATATTTCCTTAAAATTTTGAACGATTTTTACTTTCACTCCACTTTGACTCGTCGTTTTGTAAAAAAACAGTATGAACACTACTGCGGCAAGTTTTTTATAAAGTTGACGCAACTATCCAAGATTCCAAAATGGTATAATACTCTAAGAAAACTAGTCGCAAAAAAGATATGCGTACCATTTTTACAAGCATTTCGCTTGTTAGTTATTATGGGATAAATCTTGCAATTAAATTTAAAACCAGTTCTCCTTAACCAATTGAGCTGAAATTTGGTATACTTATGTAAGTACGATGACATTGCAATATTATGGTATCATTGAGCTGGATAGAGTGTGGAGGTGGCCATAGGAACTTCTAAACGAAATGGCGGAATCGCATTTAGTTTGGGTTCGTTGGATATCTTTTCGAGCACTTTAGTTCTAGATGATGTCCAGGGTCCTGATGATGAAGTCAAGAGGTGGCCAGGAGCTGGCCAAAGGAACTCCTAATCGAAATGGCGGAAGAATATCGAGTTTGGGTTCGTTGGATTTGACTTCCCGAGCACTTGGACCATGAGATTGAGAAACAACTAAAAAGTGTAATAGTGTATGAAGTCAATTATAATTTTCAAACGAAGTCAATCTTGTTTTTAAAAAAGTTTTTTTTTATTACAACTTTATTTTAAACTTTTTAGTTGTTTCTCAATCTCATGGCCCAAGTGCTCGGGAAGACAAATCCAATGAACCCAAACTCGATAAGCTTCCGCCGTTTCGTTTATAAGTTCCTATGGCCACTTCCAAACTCCATCCAGCTCAATGATACCATAATATTGCATTTTCATCGTACTTACATAAGTATACCAAATTTCAGCTCAATTGGTTGAGGAGAACTGGTTTTAAATTTAGTTGCAAGATNTAGTGCTGCTGTCCACTCCAATTCTTAAAACCCCCAGAATCCTTGCAGTTTTTACACAAAAGTTAATCAAAATATGATATTTCCTTAAAATTTTGAACGATTTTTACTTTCACTCCACTTTGACTCGTCGTTTTGTAAAAAAAAAGTATGAACACTACTGCGGCAAGTTTTTTATAAAGTTGACGCAACTATCCAAAATTCCAAAATGGTATAATACTCTAAGAAAACTAGTCGCAAAAAAGATATGCGTACCATTTTTACAAGCACTTCGCTTGTTAGTTAGTGTGGGACAAATCTTGCAACTGAATTTAAGACCAGTTCTCCTCAACCGATTGAGCTGAAATTTGGTTACATTGTGTAAGTACGATGACGATGCATTATTATGGTACCATTGAGCTGGATGGAGTCTGGAGGTGACCATAGGAACTTCTTAACGAAACGGCGGAATCGCATCTAGTTTGGGTTCGTTGGATTTGTCTTTTCGAGCACTTTAGTGCTAGATGATATCCAGGATCCTGATAATGAGTCAAGAGGTGGCCAGGAGCTGGCCAAAGGAACTCCTAAACGAAATGTCGGAAGCTTATCGAATTTAGGTTCGTTGGATTTGACTTCCCGAGCACTTGGACCATAAAATTGAGAAACAACTAAAAAGTATAAAATAAAGTTATAATAAAAAAAACTTTTTTAAAAACAAGCATTAATGCGAAATTTTAAGAAAGAATTTAACGATAAAAATAAATGTATGCAAGATTCAAATAATTTCGAAAGCTTGTAGCGCAAACAGAAAAAAAGAGGAATAAATTCCATGCGCGATTATAACTTTATTTTAAACTTTTTAGTTGTTTCTCAATCTCATGGCCTAAGTGCCCGGGAAGACAAATCCAACGAACCCAAATTCGATAAGCTTCCGCTGTTTCGTTTAGGAGTTCCTATGGCCAGCTCCTGGCCACCTCTTGACTTCATCATCAGCACTCTGGACATCATCTAGCACTAAAGTGCACGAAAAGACAAATCCAACGAACCTAAACTAGATGAAATTCCGCCGTTTCGTTTAGAAGTTCCTATGGCCACCTCCAGACTCCATCCAGCTCAATGATACCATAATATTGCATTGTCATCGTACTTACATAAGTATACCAAATTTCAGCTCAATTGGTTGAGGAGAACTGGTTTAAAATTCAGTTGCAAGATTTATCCCATACTAACTAACAAGCGAAGTGCTTGTAAAAATGGTACGCATATCTTTTTTGCGACTAGTTTTCTTAGAGTATTATACCATTTTGGAATCTTGGATAGTTGCGTCAACTTTATAAAAAACTTGCCGCAGTAGTGTTTGTACGTTTTTTTTACAAAACGACGAGTCAAAGTTGAGTGAAAGTAAAAATCGTTTAAAATTTTAAAGAAATATCATATTTTGATTAACTTTTGTGTAAAAATTGCAAGGATTCTGGGGGTTTTAAGGATTGGGGTGGACAGCAACACTACTTAGGTTGCCGATACAAACAAAAAAACAGAAGTACTTGAAAAATTGTGGCCGTGGTAATGTAAAATATCATAAGGGGTGTCAATTTTCGACGAATTTCATTATTTGTTGTGTAACTTAAAAAATAATTGAGATAGATTTTTTTTCTTATTTTTCCTAAAGTACCCATGACTATGTCCGCCCTGTGGCGCCGAGTTATCGTTGAATTTTGGGACACGTTGTATTTATATATAGATTATAATTTGTGCTTACTGTGTCCAATAAAGTCTATTTCTTTCTTTCTTTCTTTCTATCGATGATTTTAAATACATGCATCGAGTATTNCTCTTAACTTTAATGGTAACTAGGTATGACATTAACCGGTGTTTTTGTATGAAGTTTGACAGATTTTTGACATTTGTTAATGTTAAAGTAAGATGGTGCAATCCAGCCTAATAAGTTTGGTCCCAATGATAAATGTTTTGGTAGCAAAGTAAACACTGCAATGTTTATCATATTTTATTTTAACAACAACAATTATTATGTAAAATGTACATTTAAATTACACAGTAGGTATGTAAAAGCAAAACTAAATCCATTGATAGATAAGTGCCATAATGTGCACAAAAATGATCAAGTTTGTTCATAATTACATTAACACACTGTTACATGATTACATCAATTTATTTTTAGCCACAGTATTTTGACACTGCAGTCACAAATTGTATGGGTGTTTAATTCATTGGGTTAAAACCTTAATAATTTTATTTTTGTTCATATGAACAATACCTAACCAATTACTAATAATTACAGACTATTCATAATGTTAAATGCTCATTGTATCACTTAAACTAGACAGGTATAATAGCTGCATTTCATCATAATTGAAAATGTACATGTTCTGATTGATCATCATAATAATTAAAAGTTGAAAATAATTTCTTCGGTTATACTCATGCACCTACTTTCTACCTAATTATAAATAAAAACAAATAAAATACAGTGAACACAAAATTGGCCACTTAAATATAATGAACGAAACCCTATTTAAATTAAAATGGCATCTAATATTTATTAAGTCTTAGGAACTTTCAGTAAATCAGCAATCACAAAAAATATTTCAAACAAAAAAATATTGTTTTCTTGTACAAAAACTAAGTACCTTTTTAGTTTTTACAGCTGGTGTGTTTTATTACACGGTGGTTACTTTAGCAATCTTTGAGATAAAAAATCTCAAATTGAACCTTAACTAGGAATATGTTTGCTGCCGCCTCGCCGCGGCGCGGGCGAGCAGGCGACGTGTCCCGACCTAGCACCGTTTGAACACTTCATTGATGGCATGTGCTAGTTTTACGTAGTCCTATTCTAATTAGTATACGCTCACACCATCTGTATTTTGTAACGATACGTATTGCGTGACAATGTTAAAAATCTTGAGTAGTACAATAAAGTGTAGTGATTACTCGGAAGCGTTTCTAGTCTGAAAATTCTGCAATGTCAAATTCATGTTTCAAGATGCTGTAGCATCATGAAATTCATAACTTTAATACACAGATATAAAATATTATATTTTTAACATTGGTCGCGCAAGCAAGTGCAAGTTAACTCATCTCATCGGTCGACGTAATAAGCGTCGAGTATAATACACTGCGAAATAAATAATCATAAATATTGTACAGTCGACAGCATATCAGCATATATACATTTTTGCTGCAAAATAGGCCATATCATTGTAACGACATAAGACGCATGCCAGTGTTTAGCTCGATGTGCTGTCGTTTGTACCACTGGTAAAGTACACAGCAGTGTCGGTTAGATCACTATTTGAAAAGTACATACTTAAAGCGATATATTTGTGAATATTATTGTATAACATAGGTTTTTGGCTATATTAGCAATGATATTTGCATTGTCAGCGTCCCCTCGGAGTTCGAGGGCACAGTACATCGATGGATCCGTGTGAGCGCGACCGCCGCGCTGAAGGCGAAACGTAGCAGCCGTCCGAACGATCGACGCACCACCGTCGGCCCACCTCACATCCTCAGAGCGGAGGAACGGTCTCGCTCACGGGCGATCACGTCAGTGTCAATTCTGTCAACGAAGTCGCGCGGAGTCACGCGCCAGTATACGGTAGCACCAAACGTGACGTGCACGCTCGCCTCCACAAACGTCACCGGGCTCCCTGTCGCCGATCTATAGCGTTCTAGTGACAAAACGAAAGTATAAAAAATCATTAAAGAGTTCGCGAGTCAAAATAATTGTAATTGATCAACGACAGGCGATACAGGCGTCCGCCCCACCCAGCCAGGCCTCCGGCGGAGTGCGGGGGCTGCGGGCGCGGGGAGCCACGAGCACGTTCAGGGGCGGGGCCTCGCGCCCGCTGCCGCCCGCGCGGAGCTGCGGGGAGAACATCAAACGTCAGCATCGCAATAGGAACTTTTGACAATTTGGTAGGGTATAGCTCGTTTCATCTACGAAGACGCGCCCCACCATCTGTTAAGAGTTAGTTTAAAGTTCGTTCTTTGTTCTATTACTAGATGGCACCACCTGTAATGTTTGTGTTTGTTTACATAGTTTTACCAATAGATGACACTTGTATTTTATATGCAAAATATTAGCCCGCGGTGTCCAGATTTTTTGCCCGGCCGGACGCAATAAAGCATTGAATTCAGTTGACCTCAAGACAGTGTTTCATTCACTAGTAGTTAGTAGTACCCAGTCAGTGGTAGGTAGGAGTGAGTGATAGCGCCTAGGAAGTGCGCAGGGTGAGGGAATTCCACCCTCCTCTATGGGAGGGTTAAACACCATCCTTCCGCTAATGTTTGAGTGTTATCGGTACACGCTAAATCATTCATGAGTGCACACGCACACTACAATAATGACGCTCGGATCGCTCGGATCAAAATCCCCGCACCCGCGCTTCCCTCGACCAAAGATTGTTGGGGCGCATCTTCGTGGATGAAACGACGTATGATGCAGGGTCATTGTCGCTTTGTACCTGGGCTGCAGCGCTCACTGGTGGAAGGGCAGCGGCAGCGCGAGGCTGTAGAGCGAGGGTCACCGGCGCGCCTCCGCCACGTACACGCACACGGACGAGTCCTTGGAGCCCACGCCCAGCGCCACCCTGTGCGACCCACCGTTCACATTACTTCATAAAATATAAGGCATGATTCAATTACATATTAAGAGTATCCTAATGAAAAAGGGATATTATAAGGTAGATGATTATTTATTAGACAAAAATGTATGGAATTAAAACTGCCTAGCTTACACCAGTACATGTAAGCAATATAATCTTGTAAAATCTATAAATAGAGGCTGACAATAGTGACTAAGTTTCTTGCGCTGCTTCTTCTCAGCTCTGACCCATGTTACTGGCTCGAAGTAGTGGTAGACGTGTAAACTAAAGTGTGCTCTTTGTCTACTTGCGTAATTAAACAATGAGGGCTATCGTTTTAGCGCTCACCAGTTAGCGCCACTGTAGAGTAAGGTCCTGTCACTTGCTAGTAGCGAAGACAGTGGCACCAACTGGTGAGCGCTTAAGTGGTAGGAGGACTATCGCATTTGCACTCATCAAGATGGCTCTACTGTATAGTAAGGTCCTGTCAATCGCCAGGGGTGCCAACTGTTAAGTATAAAAACGATAGCCCTCATTAGAATGTTTCCCATTGGCGCGTCACGTGCGAAGTATGGGGAAAGAGCTACGCACCGGAGCGGGTGGAAGGCGAGGCAGGCGACGGGCCCGATGCGCGCGCCCATGAAGCCCTCGTGGTGCTTGATGCTGTTCAGCAGCCCGCCCTTCAGGTCGAAGATGCTGATGCACTGGTTCACCGACCCGCTGCGCACACATCACAAGTTTACATTTTATGGGAAATAATGGGATTAAGAAGTTCAAAAGGTGTGAGTAATTACTTTAATGTATACGTAAACGACTAAAGGTCTTTAAATTCATTCAAAATCGTGTATTATTAAACATATTGCTGTATCGTGTTTTGGCGGCTTATAAAAAGAACATAAATTAATCGATGATGTCATGAATTTTTGTAATTTGATTTGACATGGTAAACTTAATTTATGACATGCATCTTTATGTAAAAGATAGTTCCAATCCATGTATAGAAGTTGGACTAAGTGCTGCCCTGAATAAAACCAAACTTAGGTAGGTTAGGTATTTTGTTCCTCAGGCCAACACTAATCTGTAAACTGGAGCGCACTAAAATCTATCCATGGAGTTAAATTATGTATGCGTTATGGACCTTTCTTTAAGCATGCATATTTCTGGTGATGAATAATTGGATTGATGTATGTATGGAGCGTGCACTGACCAGGCCATGACGTCGGCGAGCGGGTGCACGTCGGCGGCGGCCAGCGGGCCGGGCGCGCGCGCCGAGCACACGCACGCCGCCAGCTTGCGCGCGTCGTACACGCGCACGAAGCCTGAAGAGCTGCGGGGAAACAAACTCTATTACCTCTGCCGTTGGACTCATTTTACTTTGCGAGTTGAATCTGGGGCCACAACCCTAACGTTAAAGTTTAGTTAAGCATGGAATAATTTCTTACTCAAACGAATGGACAGATTCGAGTTTGCGAAGTTCCCTGACCAAATTAGGGACAATTAACACGTTCGTTTGTGTTTTAGGGATTACATTCTAGAGTTTCTAAGTAGGGGAACGATAATAAATTTATCAGGATCAATAATATCAGCTTCGTTAATATCCAGCGAATCCAGCGATATTTACTATTCTGGTGCAAGTTAGAAAACGTCGACGTGCGTCGAAGCATTCTCACGGCTGCCAACTTCTGTGTGGCTAGGATCTAAAGTATCATAATAAAAGTTAACCAGAAAACTATTCCCACCTCCCGTTCCCACCGCTGCAACTCCTGTGTAGCCTGTGTAGTAGTAAATTCTACAGCTTGACCGTCAATATAAACTCAACCAGCGAAGGTCAAGTTTTACCTTATGGCGACAAGATCGGTGTAGTAAAAGTTAGGGAGTGCTCCCGCTGCCGGCGCCAGTCGCTCATTCGGTAACCAGTGCCGGTCGCTGATTCGGTTGCCGTCTACCGGTTGGCGCTAACTAATGAGGAGCGTAGCAAAGCAGGCTGTAGCGCGCTCGTCCCAGCCGAGGACAGTACGAACTATTCCCACCTCTCGTTCCCACTGCTGCAACTCCTGTGTAACCAAGATTTACAGCTATACCGCCAATAAAAACTCAACCAGTGAAGGTCAAGTTTTACCTTGTGGCGACAAGATCAGTGTAGTAAAAGTTAGGGAGTGCCTACGCTGCCGGCGCCAGTCGCTCATTCGGTAACCGGTGCCGGTCGCTCATTCGGTAAGCGGTGCCGGTCGCTGATTCGGTTGCCGTCTACCGGTAGCGGCGCTAACCAGTGAGGAGCTTAGCAAAGCAGGCTGTAGCGCGCTCGTCCCAGCGAGGACAGCACGACCGGAGCAGCGGCGCGACTGACCAGACGGTGACTGACTAGACGCACGGGCGCGGCGTGGTGCTGCAGGCTGTAGCGCGCTCGTCCAGCGAGGACAGCACGACCGGAGCAGCGGCGCGACTGACCAGACGGTGACTGACTAGACGCACGGGCGCGGCGTGGTGCTGCAGGCTGTAGCGCGCTCGTCCAGCGAGGACAGCACGACCGGAGCAGCGGCGCGACTGACCAGACGGTGACTGACTAGACGCACGGGCGCGGCGTGGTGCTGCAGGCTGTAGCGCGCTCGTCCAGCGAGGACAGCACGACCGGAGCAGCGGCGCGACTGACCAGACGGTGACTGACTAGACGCACGGGCGCGGCGTGGTGCTGCAGGCTGTAGCGCGCTCGTCCAGCGAGGACAGCACGACCGGAGCAGCGGCGCGACTGACCAGACGGTGACTGACTAGACGCACGGGCGCGGCGTGGTGCTGCAGGCTGTAGCGCGCTCGTCCAGCGAGGACAGCACGACCGGAGCAGCGGCGCGACTGACCAGACGGTGACTGACTAGACGCACGGGCGCGGCGTGGTGCTGCAGGCTGTAGCGCGCTCGTCCAGCGAGGACAGCACGACCGGAGCAGCGGCGCGACTGACCAGACGGTGACTGACTAGACGCACGGGCGCGGCGTGGTGCTGCAGGCTGTAGCGCGCTCGTCCAGCGAGGACAGCACGAGCGGAGCAGCGGCGCGACTGACCAGACGGTGACGAGCGCGTGGCGGTCGTGCCTGGCGGCGGCGGCCAGCACGGGCGCGGCGTGGTGCTGCAGGCTGTAGGCGGGCGCGGCGGGCGCGCGCTCGTCCCAGGCGCGCACGCTGCCGTCCGCGAAGCCGCACACCAGCTCGTGCGCCGCCCCCCCGGACCCGCCGCCGCTGCCGTCGCTGCCGCGCCACAGTGACGTCACGCCCGCTTCGCACTCTGTAGGAACGATAGCGTTAATTAGCGACATCCAGATGTGAGACGCACTCGGACTCGCGAATCATGGCGAGTTATTTGAAGTGGTTTCGAGTGTCGTCAAACAGCGCGAAGAGCTCGAACTGAAGCGTCTTTGAGTATTCAACAAAAACTAACAAGGTATGGCTTTCAATCGCACGTTAATCCTCACGAGTCAGCTCAAGTCACGGCTACATTAGAAGAGACATTGCCATGCTAGGCCAGTTATTAACTAAAAACGCAGTAAAGACAGTGTCGACAAAGTGACATTTCAATTGCAAGATGTTGGCACCAGCATGCGTGTGACGTCACGGTACTCACGCGTGTCGATGTGCGCCTGCAGCAGCTCGACGTGCGCGTCCCACAGGCGCACGGCGGGCGCGGGCCCGGCCAGCGCCAGCGAGCGGCGCCGCCCGCACCAGCGCAGCAGCGTGGGCGGCGGCGTGGCGCTGTAGCCCGCGCTCGCACTGCTGCCGGAGCCCGTCGACATCACGCCGCCCGCCACCACTGCCACGCAAAACGATACTTTTGAAACGACCCATTGGTTACATCGCAGCGACAAAGTGCAAACCACTAACATTATAATCAGCGAGTGGAAAAACAGGCTCGAACAAAACTCATCAATAAAATGTTAATTTTGTCCTGTTATCTTTACTGACGTATGAGTGGTTCGCCCTTAACGACGCAGGTGACAAAAGATGCGCTCGATACGGCCGTTATAAAACTATGTACATGTAAAATTCTAACACCAATCTACACCAAAAAAAAAATTTACGATATAATTAAGCATTGATAAAATATTACAATAGCTATCGGAAATAATACAGAACTGAAATACGAATATCCCATGACAGTTTACATAAATGAACGATAACACAACAAGCGAACACGAAAATTAGTATGAGGGTGATTATGATCATGCAAATGAAGACATAAGCCAAATGATAATGAACACAGAAAATGCAAGCATTCTGAGGGCCGAAGTAGACGATATGTACTTTTGTCATTCTTCGAACGTAGCACGGGAGTGCCTCGCCCCGCTTTAACTCCGGCTCAGTACAACTGTGAATCTACTATTAACGAAATTCTAATCTGAAGCCGTTTGATCAGTTCCAACTCTTTAACCTTGCACTGTGTTGGAACAAATGTATCGGCAATGAGTGTCAAACATCGGTTCAAACATTCGTCTACTCCAGCCCCGTGGTTCGGGCAGCCGCATACTGCTACGAGGCGGCATGAAAGATGCGAGATGTAGGCGCGACTCACTGTCGGCGCCGGCGTGCCGCTGGCGCGCGCCGAGCCGCTCGTCGGCCGAGATGAACTGCTCCGACACCAGCTGCGCCAGACCTGCGCGCCACACACTACAGGCCCGGCCGCCCCGAGCTCCGAACACGAGGCGCGTTGTACGGGATGACGACACCGATCACGATCGCGACATAATACTTAGTCTGTTCGCCGAGAGTTGATAAATATTACGAAATGTCTTGCAATAGCGATTGTCGCTTAATTATCGCATTCTGTATGGCGGGCGTCGTTTGTCACAACGCGCACTGAGTACCATGGTACGAGCCACGCAGCTATCGTCAAGCGCCCCGGCCAGCCGGCGGGCCGCAATGTGTGAAACGGAATAGATTTATTTTGCATAAGACCGAAATGAATGGTATGACAGTGGGTAGCAACATTGGGATACACTATAAGCCACTTGATAATAATGAAATACTTTTTATTATTATCCAACACATGGACGCCACGTGTTTGATCCGTATCCCCACGTATGCCCTAACCGGAATAAATTGGTTTTCCGAATAAAATAAAATAAATAAAAATAATTCCCGTAAATTTAAAAGAGATAATAATGATAATCTACCAACTTTTTCATTATATCGACAAAAATAATTAGCGGGCCGCAATTTATAATGAGTTTAGAACCTCTGATATTTAATTTTTTTTATCAACTCTCGGCGAACAGACTTTAGTTACGGTTGATTCATTGGTGGTGTCGTCATCACATTATGTGCCCGGTGTTCGCAGCTCTAAGCGAAATTGTAGTGCAAAGATGGTGTACAACCGCGTCCATAGGCCCTCGATTATGTTGCGAATCCATTTAACTGGGTGAACGATTTGTTGGTCATTGGCTAAATGGCAAAAAATGGTCCACAAAAAGCACAGAGAAGTCCCACTTGACCAAACCAGACCATCCACATGGTTGACGCCGGGAAACTTTTTTTCCTACACAACTTTGTGAAGTAATTCTGATTTTTTTAAATGTCTAATATAGAAAATACATTAATTTAGTTATTTTTCAGGCGGGTGGCCAGAATTTTATTAAGATGTGAAAATAAGTAAACAGTAGTCATATGTTCTGTTTTTTATGTACGTTCAATACGACTGTTACACACAAAAATGATAATAATGTTCCATGAGTTTCATGCAGTAATGCCTGTTACATACACAATGACGCGGGGCGCTTTTTTGGTTAGACAACAATTCAAAAGCAATATGATGAATTTGAAGATTGTGGAATGTAATTGACTGAATTTCTCAAACATAGAGATGATGCGGGCGGGAGGAATATTTTTTTGGGAAGACAGACAAACAAATTGAGATAACATTATTTTAAATTGCTATTCAACAATGTAAGGTAGTCGTTATTAGATGTGCAATATGATTCCCGTTGCCAGTAATGTCTTTCTTAACAAAAGAGTAATAGTCTAAGATCCCGCTATACAAGGACCTTCACCGAGATGCTTATTTGATGAAACATATTTTATATTCAATATAACATGTCAATAATTATATTGCTTAAGGGTTGCCTAATAAATTTCAGTCCAGGATATGATTAATTAATCATTAAAAAAAGTTTTATTTTTAAATATTTCATCGGTTTGATTATTAAACAAACTCCATACCAATCGAAAGTATGAAGCCCATAGAATATGCAAACGTTAGGTTGCCTATTCTTTTCCAGTCATAACTCTCGGGTTGCCAGGTATAAACAGGTAAATTGATAGAGCATTTTGCATCGGTCTGATAATTTAATCAAATATAAATGAAAATAAAGATTATTTCATTATGAACACGGTGCAGGAGGCGTCATCCAAATTTTTGACCGGAAGTCGTTATTTCCACTTTCGACATTTTTGGACCAAATCTCCGAAAGCATGGCAACACTGGAGAAATTTCTTCACCCAAGCGACACCTCTTGACAAGACACACAAACGCCTCATACAACTCGTCTTTCCCAAATGTTGCCAACTACTCGAAAAATGTCACCTTTCAGTTTTAATTTCACTTTACAAAATTCGACAACCGTCATTCAGGACTGATTTTTCGCAGGCAACCCTATACCACCGTGTTCATAATGAAATAATCTTTATTTTCATTTATATTTGATTAAATTATCAGACCGATGCAAAATGCTCTATCAATTTACCTGTTTATACCTGGCAACCCGAGAGTTATGACTGGAAAAGAATAGGCAACCTAACGTTTGCATATTCTATGGGCTTCATACTTTCGATTGGTATGGAGTTTGTTTAATAATCAAACCGATGAAATATTTAAAAATAAAACTTTTTTTAATGATTAATTAATCATATCCTGGACTGAAATTTATTAGGCAACCCTTAAGCAATATAATTATTGACATGTTAAATTGAATATAAAATATGTTTCATCAAATAAGCATCTCGGTGAAGGTCCTTGTATAGCGGGATCTTATACTATAATATGAAAAAAATATTGAAGAAAGTCAACGATAATATGGTTCAACAAAAACGTTTGCTCAAGTATAGTGAACTCTTAGGCTGAGTTGCACCACCTAACTTTGACCGTAAATATGACGATAACCGGTGTATTTTGTATGGAGTTTGACAGATTTTTGACGTTTGTCAAAGTTGAAGTAAGATGGTGCAATTCCCACCCTTATTGATGTGGAATCATTCAAGTATATTTTATTTTACATTTTAATTATCCAACTTCAAAAAACAGGTCCTCATGTCGGTTGTTTTTTTGTGTTCAAAGAAGTCTTTTAGAAACCAATTTGTAAAATTATTTTAAAAATTGAAAACATAATATTTCTAGGTTGGTCCCATATTGAAATGTTGAAGGTTAGCAGTTGTCGTGTGTAGTAGCAGAGTAAATACAAATGAGTAGGTCATCTTCAAAAAACGCACCGAGCGCGGTTTGTATGTGAGCGCTCCAATATACGTATGCGGCGCGCACGCACACACTGACAAAATTCGGCGCAACCACTGCTAATCCCCGCTAAATTTTGTCAGTGCGTGCGTGCGCGCCGCATACGTGTTGGCGCGCTCACATACAAACCGCGCCCGTGCGTTTCTATGAAGATGAGCTACTCATTAGTATTTACTCTGGTAGTAGTGTGGTGGTGTGGTGTGTGCGGTACGTACTGATGAGCGGCTGCGCGGGCGGCGGGCGGTAGTCGGGCTGCGGCCGCACGTCCAGCGCGCGCCACGCCGCCACCAGCGTCGGCTCCGTTGTGCTGCTCGACGGCCTGCCACCACAACACCTCGTCAGCCAGTTACATAGGTGATGTGTGTACGGCCATTAATGGACTATGACAATGAGTCCAATAGACAGAATTCCAGGCGGGCTAGGATGCGCGCAGTGATAAAATCTTATCAATGACTTTAGACGACAAACGTATGGGCTAATGGGCTTATAGCGTAAAATCGATAAAATGGCGCGATAAAAGCTTATCGCAGCGCGCATCCTAAGCCTCAGGCCAAAATATTATTATGTAAGGCAGTCGAGGCCACGTTACAACCGACAGTAGACAGACATGTGCCTGCCATTAATCTTTCACCTCAATTTTTTTTATCATTTTTATAATTTTGGCTGCTTTTTCTAATTTCATTCTAGATGGCTGCATGACCTAATAACACGTACACGCCCATAAAGCATACTTCGTGGGTTCAATCCTCACGCTCGGTACTTTTAGGGTTCCGTAGCCAAATGGCATAAAACGGAACCCTTATAGATTCGTCATGTCTGTCTGCCCGTCCGTATGTCACAGCCATTTTTTGGAAGTGTAATTGTATGAAATGTGAAAGAAGCTTCCCGACCTGTAGACGGCGAGGTTGCCCTTGTGCGAGGCGACGGCCAGCAGCGCGTGGTCGTGCGCGTTGAGGTAGGCCAGCGCGCTGATGCGGCCCCACGCGCGCGCCCACGCGCCCACGCACAGCTTGGCCGCCGTGCCCCAGTCCCAGATGCTGCCGATAACAACACACATTAATAATATGTAAAGCCTGCTCCGTGAGCACGTAGAATCCCGTCCAATGAACCCAAGCTACCCGTCCTTATCGCTCGCGCGTAATTATATTGCTGTCGCGACTGTGCGACGCGCGCCCGCAGTGAGTGTGCGAGCGCGACAGCAACATAATTACGTGCGAGCGACAAGGATGGGCAGCTTGGGGTCATTGGACGGGATTCTACGTGCTCACGGACCAGTCTTTACTACATATTCTTCGCGGAGGTATTTAATAAATGTGTACTCAATGTTGTCAACAATATGGTGTAATTTAGCTTGTCTCAGTGCCGATCATAGAGATCTAGAGAGATGCCAATGCTGAGTTCGAAACCCAGTGTCGTATTTGAAATTCACACACCACAAGTACATCATGCACACATCGCATTGAGTGCGAATATTCGTTCGCATACCAGTTTGTTAGTAATGAACGTACAGCACCACTACATACACAGTGATGTGCGATTGAATGTATGATTGAATGTGCTCATTATCCACTGCGGTGTCAGTATTCAATGTTCGAATAATCTTTGGTACTACGCAAGCAATGTAAAGTGTTTACACATATAACGTCGCTGCTGTCATCATTGCTGTCGCGAGCAATGTGTTCTGTTTTTGGGCAAATCCCTGCAACACCTTTTCACATCTCCCTTTAGATTCTGTGGTACCGATGCAATAGGACTGACTGTAGCTAATGTGTCGCCATCTAGCGTGCATCGCCTTCGTCTCGCCTGTTCCCAGCCGCCGCAGCGCTAGACACAGAGTGCGGCCAGTGCTCGCTCACCCGAAGTTGTCCTTGGAGGCGACGGCGGCGTGCTGCTCGTAGGGGTGGAACAGCACGCAGGCGGGCGGCGCGAGTGGAAGCCTGTCTCCAGCCGCCGCGGCGCTAGACACAGAGTGCGGCCAGTGCTCGCTCACCCGAAGTTGTCCTTGGAGGCGACGGCGGCGTGCTGCTCGTAGGGGTGGAACAGCACGCAGGCGGGCGGCAGCGCGCAGCGCGAGTGGAACGCCTGGGTCTCCAGCCGGCCGCAGCGCGCGCCGCGCAGCGCTAAGGATAGAATACAAATTGGAGCAGGATTAGAAGAATAAATCGAAACCGACCTAGATAATACCGATTCTACTTTTAATTGAGAAAATTTAAAATAATTATGACGAAAGCATTTTGGATCGCTACATCTTCAATAAAGACTTTTATGCAACTAATATCCTAAACTGCATCTAGACTTAACATCAGGTGCGATTGTGGTCAAATACCTGCCTTGTTATGCATAAAAAAAATGTTAAATGAGTCAAAAGCGTTCAATGGAGGCAATATTACGAAGCTAGCCGCCACTAATGTACCCCCTCCCCCTTACTACTGTGTCACGTAACCTTCGCACTCCGACTCCTGCTGCGCTAGCGTGTGTTGGTTACCTCGTGCCTCGTGGCGCAGGCTGCGGCCGCGTCGCTCGCCGCGTTACCTCGTGCCTCGTGGCGCAGGCTGCGGTCGCGTCGCTCGCCGCGTTACCTCGTGCCTCGTGGCGCAGGCTGCGGCCGCGTCGCTCGCCGCGTTACCTCGTGCCTCGTGGCGCAGGCTGCGGTTGCGCGCGCACCGCCACACGCGCTCGTGGTGCGCGCGTGCCTCGGGGTCGCGCAGGCAGGCGGCCGCGTCGCTCGCCGCGTTACCTCGTGCCTCGTGGCGCAGGCTGCGGCCGCGTCGCTCGCCGCGTTACCTCGTGCCTCGTGGCGCAGGCTGCGGTTGCGCGCGCACCGCCACACGCGCTCGTGGTGCGCGCGCGCCTCGGGGTCGCGCAGGCAGGCGGCCGCGTCGCTCGCCGCGTTACCTCGTGCCTCGTGGCGCAGGCTGCGGTTGCGCGCGCACCGCCACACGCGCTCGTGGTGCGCGCGCGCCTCGGGGTCGCGCAGGCAGGCGGCCGCGTCGCTCGCCGCGTTACCTCGTGCCTCGTGGCGCAGGCTGCGGTTGCGCGCGCACCGCCACACGCGCTCGTGGTGCGCGCGCGCCTCGGGGTCGCGCAGGCAGGCGGCCGCGTCGCTCTGCCCGAACGTGGCCGCCGCCCACTCCACGAACGCCGTCTGCACTATCGCCGCCTTCTTGGCCGGTTGACCTGCACGCGATCGATGTTTGAAAGGTATACGATACAATTAAGTGGTACCTACGTGGTACAAAATTATGAATATGTTTCTAAACATAAAAAGTAAACAATAACTTACACAAAATAAATACTAAAGCCCGGTCTCCGAGCACGTAGAATTTTGTCCAATTGTGCTCGCACACTCGCTGCGGCCGCCCGTCGCACAATCGCGATAGCAACATAATTACGCGCGAGCGATAAGCATGGGTAGCTTGGGGTCGTTGGACGAAATTCTACGTGCTCAGCGACCAGACTATAGTAATGTGTGAGTGCATAAAATGATAAGTAATTTGAATGAAAAAAAATACTCACTAGAATTAGACGAGGTAGAATCGCGATCGCGAGTGGACTCGCGGTCTCGCTGAGCGACCGAATCTTCGGATATGGTATGTGGGAGGCCGGTCTTGGCGCGCCGGGATCCTACACAAAAATTTAATTGAAATTAAATTGACATTTAATTAAATTTAATTGACATTAATTTAATTATATATTGAATTTTAACGATATTTGGTTGGATAATCACTTTTTAACCTCATATTTTTACTTACATAAACATGAACATGAGATTTTTTATCTTGACAAATTAAAATAATCGGCCCGCCTAATGAAAGTACCTGGGTGCGGCAGCGTGCGTACATCGCTAGCATGCGCAAGCGGCGAGGGCCGCGTGTTGGGCGACGGCGGCAGGGACGCGCTGCTGCCCGCGCCGCTGCTGCTACGCAGCGGGGACTCCACCTCGCGCCCCACCGTGTCCGCCTGCGGAACCATACGCAATGAGGGCTATCGTTTTAGTGCTCACCAGTTGGCGCCACTGTAGAGTAAGGTCCTGTCACTTGCTAGTCGCGAAGACAGTGGCGCCAACTTGTGAGCGCTAAAGTGGTAGGAGGACTATCGCATTTGCACTCATCAAGATGGCGCCACTGTAGAGTAAGGTCCTGTCAATCGCCAGGGGTGCCAACTGTTAAGTATAAAAACGATAGCCCTCATTACATTACCAACCCACACATCAACGGAGTTGAACGAATGCACCTTAGATTAAAACAAAGAAGGAAGAAGGCATAAGCACCTCGAAAACGTGCCAAGAATATCCCAGAACAATTTTTGACAGGGCAGAATCGGTCTGACTTACGAAATACACGCGCGCAGAGCCTTCTTCTGTATTTAAAAAGTACGAACAATGTAAGAACTATAAAAGTTTACGGCAAAATACAATAAAAGATACAATGAGGGTTTTCGCGTATGAAAAATCCGCCAGATGGCAATACGTAGACGCAAGGTCCAAATGCTGCATGATTGGTTAATTTTGACATGACATTGACAGATATGTCAAAATCCACCAATCACGCAGCAGTCAGATCCCACATCCACGTCCCGCCATCTAGCGGATCTTTCATACGCGAAACCCCTCATTTCCACTCATTAACACTGACATTCGCTATGTTGTCAAGGCTTTGTTTTTACGTAAGCGTATGCTGTATCGTTCCCTTTTTATTATTTAATTTATTTAGTTATATTTTGTTTGGAAATAAATCATAATCTACGGAATGCAGTAATCAATTCCGCAATGTGATGAGGCTGTAAGGCTGTAAAGAGTGAGGGTGTGACCTGGTTGGCGATGTAGGCGATGATGTCGGCGGCCATCTGCCCCACCTGCGGGTGCGGCTCGCGCGACATGGCGCACAGCGTGCTCCACAGCTTCATGTACACCGACCCGAAGCCTGCGCACGAGGGACAAGGGACAACGAATTTAGTAACACTTTGGTGTCGAACTTCATGAGAAGACAGAAATGTGATCAGAACCACAGAATAATAATAAGTACTACATACAGAAGTTTTACTTCGCGAAGGTATTTAAAAAAATGTATGCTCAATGTCATTAACAATATAGTGTAATTTAGCCTGTCTCAAGAGCAAGCACCATTTTGTTGACAAACGTCAGTGATCGGCACTGCGCCGAAGCTATAGGGCTGACTTCGGTAAAATGATGTGACGTGAGGTGCCAAACTGCGGAAAATGGCGGAGGAAATACATGATTTAGCATGAATTATCATGAATAATTTTAACTACTTATTTATCTCTCAGTGTCTTGAGGCAACTTAAAAAAGTACATTCCGTGTTGTTATTATTATTATTTAGGCAGTTAAATACTGCACAGTATTTAGTACACCATTTTCTTTATTTTCTTCCATCATACACAAGAATACGCGTGCGTAAGTCAATGTTCGCTCGTATGTGAGGCCTTGTCAAATATTATCCTTTAGGTGGGCCATCGTGCGTGTTTTGTTTTCGATGTAAACTCGCGGAGATGAACAGGCCTGTCAGAACTGCGAGTTGACGCGAGCGAGAGTGAGATTAGGTACAGTCAGCGTCAAATAGTTTGTGACACCCAAAGTAGGTAGCCAAAAAGTTCGCAACACGTCATTTTTACGATCTTCTTCTTTTCGTGTTGACAACAAACTTATAGCCTGACCAGGAACATAAAAACCCTCGCCATGTTGCGGAAATCTAATGGTACTAATTTCTTTTAATGGCAACAATAACTAAAAACTTCATTGACATGTCACCTTGCATGTCAGTCTATTGCTGTCAAAGTGTAAACAAACTTTATTTTAAATGTGCGCAATTGATTTTGTGCATGAAATTGCTAAAATCTTTTTATAGTCGTGAAAGAAAAGTGGTTCACAATGTGTTAAAGTATTTGTCGAAGAGAAATACCTACCAAGGGTTCGGACAATATTTTCATTGAATAATGTTTCCAACAAAGGTTGTCAAATTGACTGACATGTTTATCGTATAGTACAGTCCACTATGAAAATTAGCTGTGGTTTGTTTCAACTACCGATTTTAAAGTTTTTTGTCACTTTCTAAGTGTTGAATTTTATGGAATTGGGAAAGAAGTACTGAGTTTGAAGCGTTCATGAGCAGACATTGCAGTTGAATATTTAAGTTCTGAATTTGATTATTGATGAATAATAAAATAAATCCTACTAGCTCGATTGATGGTTTCATTTAATTTATTTAAACCAGGTTCCTATAATAATATGTTTTCGTTAATTTATGACAATATTAAATTAGCCCGTAATCCTGAATCCTGATACATAAAGTTAGCCTATTAATTTAACACAGGTACGACTGTACTCAGTGTTGCACTATCAAATGCAATTGATGCGCCTCTATGCCAGGGTTTTTATGTTCCTGGTCAGGCTATACACAGTGTCAGCCCAAAACTCCGCCACAAGAGTGGCGTTGTCAATAGCACTCATTTTTACAATGGAATAAGGAAGGTTGTGTTGTCAAGGTTTTGGCCACTTTGGGTGTCGCGAACTACACTCAACATCAAATAAATCGCACCTCCCGCAACAAGCACTTACAAACGTATGCATCCCCACTTCCCACCAATATTAGCACCATTTAAAAGCCTAGTTCTAAGCTTCATTTCATTAAAGGAAAGGTTTTAACCCCAAAAATGTGTCTTTAGAAGGATCCAGTCACTTCTTCAAAAAATAGGCTATTACGCTTGAGCCAACTTTTATGGCTGTAAAACTGTTAAGTTGGGATTAATCGGTATCCATCTGTTAAAGAGGACACGTGTGATCATTATTTGGTTTTATAACCATAAAATTTGGTCTAATTGATCCCAGAGGTGAGCCCAAAGTGAGGTCTCTTTTCAAGTCACATTTATGGTTTAAGATAATCATTTATTTAGAAATTAAATGTGTTTTTCTTTAAGGATATTTATTGGGCTTTCAAATAACACCAATATTGTTGGGGCACTATGGTTGTGTCAGAAGAAAATCTTTAAAGTTCGCGTCGCGGAAGGTGCGGTTTATTTGATGTTGAGTGTATTTGTCGCTGTCTGTACAAAGTAGTTGTGTGATGTTTACCGATGGAGGGCAGCACGCACGCAGGCACGGAGGAGCGCGGCGAGCGCGTGCCCAGTGCCAGAGCATCCACGGCACGATCCAAGTCCATAGTCCGCTCCGGCCGCCGCGGGCGGGTGCCTTTGCTGTACACACCAAATAAAGTAAAAAATCGTATTCAGGATAATTAGCTGTATCGATAAGATCCGAACTTTTTAGATTATCTTACTTGAAATTTCTTCTGTCACGTTCCTGGAGATATACAGCTATGAAATACTGCTCGAACGAGAGAACCAACCACTGCAAGGCTGTAACAAAATATAATTTATAAAATCTGCCTTCCCGTTCAGGGGGCTTAGTGCGAGTTTACATCAAACGTTATCGCTAGCGACTTTTTCTTTTCAAGCACTAAATCTTCGTAGATTTTTTGACGCATTGGCTAGCAACTACGTCCAATGAAACACACATTAAATAAATAAATATCCTTGGACATTTTAAACTGCGCTTTTAGCCCCAAACTAAGCAAAGCTTGTACTATGGGTACTACATAACGGATATAAATATACTTACTTTTTTTTTTGTAAATTCATACTTATTATACATAGAAAACACCCAGTCTAATACAAACAAATATGTTCATGCACACAAATGTTTGTACTGTGCGGGAATCCAACCCGCTACCTCCGGAATAGTAGTCCGTTTCGAACCACTACACCAAACGGCCGACTTAAGCACAGTTCTTCATTTCAAATTTAAAAAATCAGAATAATAACTCACCGGCTAATATCTCCATGCGCACGAGCGCGGAGGCGTCGGCGGCGGCGCGCGCGGCCAGCTGCACGCCCACCTGCTGCTCCAGCGCGTTGCCGTGCTCCGTGCGCGCGCCGTGCCACAGCACGAACGAGCCCAGCGCGAACGCGCACGCCGCGCGCACCTGCAACGAGCCGAAGGTTAGCGGGGCACGCCAGGCTTCCGGCAATCGCTCGTAAGTACCTGCCGCTTACTGAGCGTTCGAAAGCAAAGTGAGAGGAATGCGACACGGACACGAAATCATAAAATAAAATTTTTGTATTTTATTTCATCGAACCGACCTTTGCGTTTTTTCACACCGGCGACACGTCATCGATCGTGCATCGTGCATGGGAATCGCTTCGTGACCTCGGGCGCGTCATCTTGTGGGGCAATGACGAATTTGTCACGCAGTAATCTGTACGCACCTTGGGCGCGTATTTGTCGTCTCGTAGGGCGGTGGTCTGTTACGTAGTAAGTCTTGAGCCGCGTCGTAGGCGCGCCACAGCCGGCCCGGCGCCGCGTCCGTCAGCCGGCAGTGCCGGGGCTGCCACAGGGGCCTCACCTCGGGCGCGTGGTCGAGCAGCAGCGGGTACAGCTTCTCGTGCGCGAGGTCGCGCGCGCCGGCCCAGCGCGCCGCGTCGTAGGCGCGCCACAGCCGGCCCGGCGCCGCGTCCGTCAGCCGGCAGTGCCGGGGCTGCCACAGGGGCCTCACCTCGGGCGCGTGGTCGAGCAGCAGCGGGTACAGCTTCTCGTGCGCGAGGTCGCGCGCGCCGGCCCAGCGCGCCGCGTCGTAGGCGCGCCACAGCCGGCCCAGCGCTATGCACGCCCACTGCCGCAGCGCCGGCGACGAGTCCGTCAGCTGCTCCAGGCAGATTGAGATCATGGATCCCTGCGGGCAGACAAACTGTTTACACGGGGGTTAATACTTCAGAAATACGCACACGAGTTACAAAAAGTACGCACACGACTTAAAATTAAAGCATACAAAAAAGAGGATAATATCCACTCTGCACCCTATAGCAAGACGTAAGTTGTGCTATGTACCTGTAAAGCTGCCTCTTGTCCTGCGGGATAATTGTCCACGATCCCTGCGAGCACATAAGCTGCTAGCGTTCTGTGTTCGCTCTGCGAACAAAAGACAATTGAAATAAGTATGTACACAATTTATTAATTACATTTTACGGTGAAGGTGTATACTTACGTCGACTGTGGGATCCGCGAGCACGGACAAGAAGTATTTGTGACCTTTCGCGTTCACCAGGTCGACCTGACAGCTCTGCAACCAAATTATTCATTTATTTTAGGTATAAGGATAAATTGTTGTGGCGTCTACATAAGTAAGGCGGTTATCACACTGCGCCGCGCTCCGCCGCGGAGCGCGGGGCGACAGATTTAATCATTGTATGCAAGTACCTCAGTTTGTATAGAAAACACGCGCGGCACTTCACACTGACAACGCGTCCGCGCGCGTGATTTTTTATATGAAATCACGCGCTCCGCGACGGAGCGCGGCGCAGTGTGATAACCGCCTAACGTAATACAAGTCGTTGTCGTGACAAATTATTTTGACATGTGGGATTGCGTAATGTTGTGTGGCAAGTGGATGGATACTGTGTAGTGTGGTGTAGTGTCGGGCACGCACCGGGTCCACGGCGACGATCTTGGCCCAGATGTAGACCATGGAGGCGCGCAGGTCGTGCGCGGAGGCCTGCAGCAGCTTCAGCATGTAGGGGAAGATGCCGACGGCCAGCACGGCGCGCGCCGCCCACGCGCCCAGCGCCAGGAAGCATAGTGTAGTGTGGTAGTGTAGTGTCGGCACGCACCGGGTCCACGGCGACGATCTTGGCCCAGATGTAGACCATGGAGGCGCGCAGGTCGTGCGCGGAGGCCTGCAGCAGCTTCAGCATGTAGGGGAAGATGCCGACGGCCAGCACGGCGCGCGCCGCCCACGCGCCCAGCGCCAGGAAGCGGCACAGCAGGCGCAGCGCGCGCACGCGGTGCAGCGTGCTCAGCAGCACCTGCAGCACCATCGGCAGCTGCGACGGCGGGCTGCGCGACGGCGAGCCTGCGACATCCCAACCCTTGCCTTAATTCATTGTTTACACTACATTTTGCCGCAGCACTAGTTGCTAATATAGATTTACACTTTTACAGATTGCGGTATAAATTTTCAGGTGCAACGCGACTGAATAACGAACGAAGATCAGCTGTTTGAAAAATCCCAATAATTTTTTTTATAGCTAGTTCAAACGAAGCTGTAACGTAAGCGGCGCGCAATTGCGTTTTTGCGTAAAAGCTGACAGAAAGCAGCTTAATTCCAAACGCAAGTCAAACGCTTCACGAACATTTGTCGTTTTATTAATTTTATTTCCAAAGATAAGGTGTTCCGATTTTTATTGGAAAGTGCATAAATGATGTCGCATTGCACATCATCATCATCTCAGCCATAGGCCGTCCACTGCTGAACATAGGCCTCAAAAGCATTGGGCGTTTCATGTTGCCCGGTTGGTAGCAGCCTCATCAATTGCACATCAGTTACAATGAAATAAAGCGCAAATGTATTGGAGACAATAAAAATTAGCGCAATCTGGACCCAAGTCTACCGCATAACTTAGTGCCTGAGGTATGAATGGGAGTGGCACAGAAGGGTGTTTTAGTGACTTCAAACGTCAGCGAGACTAGATGCGTTTCAGATTTGTGTGTCAGCGTGTGCTCCCACGCCGCCCACAGCGGGGCCGGCGGGCCTGCAGGTGTGACGTCACGCGCACTCACCGAGCTCCAGCCACACCTGGAAGGCGGTGAGCTGGTCGCGGAAGAAGGGCGAGTGGCGGTAGTCGGCGGGCGCGCGCTCGTCCAGCAGCGCCGGCAGCTGCGCCAGCGCCAGGTCCAGCGTGTGCTCCCACGCCGCCCACAGCGGGTGCCGCGCCAGCGACGGCAGCGCCGGCATCGACACTGGTGTGCAGTTGTACGACCTGCGCACGACAACCATATAACTAGCATAGGCGCAAACTCGATGCCCCCACGCGCCTAGCAATGATACTGCGTGTATAGCCTGACCAGGAACATAAAAACCCTGGCATAGAGGCGCTTCAATTGCATTTGATAGTGCAACACTGAGTACAGTCGTACATGTGTTAAATTAATAGGCTAAATTTATGTACCAGGATTCAGGATTACGGGCTAATTTGATATTTTCATAAATTAACGAAAAATATTATTGAAGGAAACCTGGTTTAAATAAATTAAATGAAACCATCAATCGAGCTAGTAGGATTTATTTTATTATTCATCAATAATCAAATTCAGAACTTGAATATTCAACTGCAATGTCTGCTCATGAACGCTTCAAACTCGGTACTTCTTTCCCAATTCCATAAAATTCAAAGCTAAGAAAGTGACAAAAACATTAAAATAGGTAGTTGAAACAGACTACAGCTAATTTTCATAGTGGACTGTACTATACGATAAACATGTCAGTCAATTTGACAACCTTTGTCGGAAGCATTATTCAATGAAAATATTGTCCGAATGCTTAGTATTTCTCTTCGACAAATACATTAACACATCGTGAACCACTTTTCTTTCACGACTATAAAAATATTTTAGCAATTTTATTCACAAAATCAATTGCAAACATTTAAAATAAAGTTTTGTTTACACTTTGACAACAATAGACTGACATGCAAGGTGACATGTCAATGAAGTTTTCAGTTACTGTTGCCATTAAAAGAAATTAGTACCATTAGTTTTCCGCAACATGGCGAGGGTTTTTATGTTCCTGGTCAGGCTATACAAGACATAATTATTTTTAGACACGCAGCATCACTGTTAGTTCGCGCGCGAATTCAATGCAGACTTTTTGACACATTCAGCTTCTGAAGCTCTGTACCAATGTGCAGAGCTTTAGGCGCTGAATGTGACGAACATCCTATGTCTCAATAGGCATACGAATTCATACGATGTTCGTCAGAGGTGCATATAAATATCGAACATTCCGGGCACATTGCGTGTATAGCAAAATGAATGTACACAAGCGTACTTCGAGAGATGACTTTTTACGGCCGGTTCACACATGTCTCCGTTTTACTGTTCCGATTTATCGTGTACGTTTTTTGTATGTATTACTGTATACAGAATACTGTGTCATGTGTAAGTCGCTCATACAACTACATACGCCATCGACGAAAAAAAACGTACACGATAAAACTGAACAGTAAAACAGAGACATGTGTGAACCGGCCGTTAGGTGCAAAACTCGAATTAGTCACAGTTAAGAATAGCTGTCCAGAGAAGTCGAGTAGCAGGCTTGTGTAGGTCATGACATCTGCTCGCATACCTCATGACGCGGTCGGCGAGCAGGAAGTTGCGGCACAGGCTGGCGGTGAGCAGGTCGGCGCGGAACAGCTGCTGGAACAGCTCGGCGGGCAGCGAGCTCCAGGCGATGGTGTGGGTGATGGTATCTGCTCGCATACCTCATGACGCGGTCGGCGAGCAGGAAGTTGCGGCACAGGCTGGCGGTGAGCAGGTCGGCGCGGAACAGCTGCTGGAACAGCTCGGCGGGCAGCGAGCTCCAGGCGATGGTGTGGGTGATGGTATCTGCTCGCATACCTCATGACGCGGTCGGCGAGCAGGAAGTTGCGGCACAGGCTGGCGGTGAGCAGGTCGGCGCGGAACAGCTGCTGGAACAGCTCGGCGGGCAGCGAGCTCCAGGCGATGGTGTGGGTGATGGTATCTGCTCGCATACCTCATGACGCGGTCGGCGAGCAGGAAGTTGCGGCACAGGCTGGCGGTGAGCAGGTCGGCGCGGAACAGCTGCTGGAACAGCTCGGCGGGCAGCGAGCTCCAGGCGATGGTGTCGGTGATGGCCGTGAAGATCCAGTTCAGCTCGCCCAGCATCGTGCGCCGGTCCGTCACCTGCCCGGGGATCCTGCGCATAGGGACAAGGAAATAGATCAAAGAATTTGTAGGGAGTCAAGCGTTGCGCGCGGCAGAGTGCAACCTGCTACGGCAGACGCAGTTCCGCGCGCATCTCCCGTGATTCGGCCAGTTATAACCGCAAGGTTGGCATGGCCATGGGTGGTGGTGGGTTGCCCGGGGATCCTGACCAAATACGTGAACATGATGATGAATGATCTACACTTAAATTACGCATTGTTTAGTGCCTAAAGAAGAAAGTACCCTACTTTTCCTACCCTATCCACTATCCATCCTAAGTTTTTAGCGCTACTTCTTCTTAGGGCTGGACCATTTTAAGTCCCGAAGCAGTGTGAGGGTTAATACTGGGACTTGTAAAATGTATTTAAAAGACCACTTGCAAAAATAAAATTAGTTTGATGACCTATGGATTCTGTTAATTTGTTGTTTTTGAGTCATCTTAAAAATGTAGAATGTTCTAAGTGGCAGCTGGTTTTAACTATTGAAAGACCGAAAAGCCTCGGCAAATGTAGTGTGGGCACTGGGCATCCTACATGAACTACTCGATGGACCGTACCTAAACGCTCTTTAGGATCGGTCGTGCTTTGTTTATTTATTTATTTAGAAAAACAAGGTTGTAGAGTTCGTTGCGAGCTGTAAACTGTATTCAACCGGGTTTAGACAGGTGTGCCGCGTAATGGAATGTGTCGTGTAATGTAACACGAATTCTACATGTGGACGGCACTACGAGGGTCGAGCATTACTTGTAAAGTGCTGTCCATACTATTTCCATTACATTACAGGATAACCGTCTGGAGCCGGTTGAATAACGCTGGTGTTTCTCACTTGTCGATGAGCTCGTTGACGATGTGCGGCGTGACGCGCGTGCGCGTGCGCAGCACGAACCACTTCATGGCCATCTTGACGGGCGTGGTGAGGCACGCCGTGAACAGGTCGGCGGGCAGCTCGGGGTTCATGGGCAGGCTCTGGCCCGCCGCGCACGCGCCCAGCTGGATGCAGTTGCGGTACGACACCGGCGCCGGCGCCGGGCCCTCGCCTGCGCCGCGCGAACTCAGCGCCGCCTGCCGGAGAAACGAAGCTTCATTCGTTCCTTTTTGACATTCTATTGGAGAGAATCGGACGGATTGCACACCTCCACCCCAAAATTGTTTTACAATTAATTAACGTGTGTCCAATGTGTCAATATACGCAATTTGAAATTTACCAAGTGTTTTCATGAACATACTCAATAGTTTATTGCTTCCATAATGTTTACAAAAGGTGACATTGGTAAGGTAAGATACAATTATTATTACTTATTGTTTGTGTTGACGTAAGTTAATGAGGGTTTTCGCGAATGGAAAATCCGCCCGATGGCATTACGTAGACGCGAGGTCCAAATGCTGCATGATTGGTTATTTTTGACATGACATTGACAGATATATCGAAATCCACCAATCACGCAGCAGTCAGACCCCACATCCACGTCCCGCCATCTAGCGGATCTATCATTCGCGAAAACCCTCATTAGAATGAGGATGTTTCTTGGGTAAAAAAAGCAAGAAAGTTTAAAAGACGAGGCCCGTGACGTCAAGGTGTGCTTAAAAGTGTAGCACGTTATGACATCACGCGAATCTTCAACGCACTGTAATTTCGTAATTACTTGTTGACGGTACTAATGGTGAAAAACGCTGTTTTAGCGTTCTCTCACGTGATCTGCGCGAGAAAATATAATGCTTTGCGGACCATTATTTCACCATCTAGGTAAATTGTATATTTGGGTATGAGAATACATTGATTGTTTTTAATATGTCCGATTCTAAATCTCAAGAGCACGAAGTAATGAAGTTATTTGTTAAAAAATCTATGTTGTCTATGTATCTATTAATAACCAATATCATAATTAAAGCAGAATAGTAATAACCGAGTATACAAAACACGTTAAATAACTTTAGTGATTTGTTATAATAGTAGTAACTGACCTCATACTCGCGCTCGTGCTGGTCGGCGAACTGCTTGAAGTTGTCGACGATGACGCCGGCGTTGGCGCAGTCGTAAACGTACAGCGACGGCGCGCCCATCCACGTCTGCAGGTCGTACATCGACAGCGGGATGTACTGCGTGTAGGCCTGCCCAACAACAACAACACTGTTACAGCCCGCGCGTATGGTTCAAGCGTGGTACAAATACAAAAGGTCTTCCCCATTATAACAAACAGGCACTGCGAGCAGTGCGCAGCAAAGTAGTAAAGCAAATATACGAAACAAGTGTGCACAAGGGCGCCTTCAAATTGACGCGTGAGGAAACGCTGCAGTGGCAGCACTGCGGCGCGCTTGCAACAAAGTTGCGCTTCTAGAAATTGAATACTAGTAAGTTCTTCCTCTTCCTATCGCTTTCTCACGCGTCTTAATTTGAAGGCGAATTGAAATTGAAGGTCCGTAACTAAACTACGTTGTACCTACCAAAGTTTAATGACAAGGCATTTAATCCTCACAGTTGAAAATTATTTTATTACTTGTAAAGTCGATAGCTCATCAAACCATGTTTTGCCTTTTCGCGTCGCAGTTCAAGCGCATTCACAGGCCTGGTTTCCTTCGTCTTGGTGGAAACCGGGCCTTCATGATAGCGAAAATACATTATCCGATATTATGGACACGTGATTAAGAAAGAAAGAAAGAAAATACATTTATTTGGCACACTAGAACAACAAGTAACCGGCTAACCGGCGCCGGGTACCCGGTCGTGAAATGTATGGGCATGCCGGATTAATTACGCCGGAACATGTGAAAGCTACGTACCATGCCCATACACTTCACCACCGGATACCCGGCGCCGGTTAGCCGGCAACCGGGACGTGTGAAAAGGGCCTATAGGAGGGCAGGCTCACCCGGTTGAAGACCCATATCTCGCCCTGCACGGTGGGCTTGGGCACGCCGTGGCCGTTGTAGTGGAATAGCACCCGCTCGTCCTTGGCGTTGCGCCGCAGCGAGCAGCATAGCTTCTTCACCTGCCAACAACATGAATAACCTTTTAAAAACACTGTTGGGAAAAGAAAGTGTTTTTCAAAAGCGAAGTGTTTTCCATTTTGGAATGACAATCTAACATGCAAACTCTGTGCAAGCACACTTTTTCAATTTCCATAGTCAGACAGTACGTCATAATTCGTCAGTTAAACTGCGAAAATAAAAGGTTAAGGCTGGCTTGCACCATCTTACTTTAACTTCGAGCAAATGTCAAGAATCTGTCAAACTACACCGGATATTGTTATAGTCAATGTTAAAAGTTGTGTTTGTATGTATAAATTAATAATATCATTCATTCTCACAAACTTTCATATTATAAGTAGGAGAAATATTCCTCAAAAACTTATAATATTGAAACACTGTCATGGCCACTATCGTAATTAATACATCTAAACCGAAAACACCTGTTATCTATCTCAAATATTCAGAAGTAGACCCAACTTCCATCAGTCACTTTAGTCAGCGTGTCAGATAGCCCTATCCCAAATAAGAGTGCGAATTCGCGATAAGTAGCTCGTCTGCGCCGCGCCAAGGTCAGCCCGCGGCGCGGTCGGCCGCGCCTGCTCCTAATTTATGCTCATTAAGCATTAATATAGCAATATAGNCAAAAGCTGAAAATCAGTGTAACCCTTTTGAGGGTAGTGTTTATACTGAGCTCTTTGCTTTTTGCATCGCTGCGGCACACATCACTCTGACGCAGGGAACTATTTGAAACGCTAGTCATCTTTATCTTATGTTGTTTTGTCACTTAGTGTGTTTCTTGACTAACTAACTTTATTTCGATATTGAATTGAATTTCAATAGCAACTATACATAATGTGTGTGTAAAATCATTAAAAAAAAGTGTGTTACAACAAATAAANACTGTCACAAACACCATTGGTGGAGAAAACTGGGTACCCCTAACACGAGACCAAAGCGAATCAAATATCACAGATAAATATACACATTCCTATAGTGAAGTATTGAAGAATGGTAATAAACCACGAGGTTCAGGCACCTACAACATAACAGGAAATCAAAATCCTCATATAACCCAATCGGGTCAAACCAGTAACCAAACACATAGTGAGTATGAGATCACTCTACTAGAAACAATTAATAGACAAGCTCTAAAAATTGACTTACTGTTACAACAAATGGGGACCCTAATAAACCTCATAACTACACTAGTCAGCAAGACGAAATGACTTCTATTCGTATTGGAGCATGGAATGCAAATGGACTAGCTCCAGTTAAAAACGATCTAAAAATAATATTAGAAACGAACAAAATAGATATTATGTTAATCTCTGAAACACACCTTAATGATAAAAAAATGTTTAAACTACAAAATTATGAAGTGCACTGTACCAACCACCCGGATGGCACCTGTCATGGAGGGACAGCAATCTTAATTAAAAATCACATCAAACATCACATTCATAGTAGGGTCATGGAGGATTACCTACAAGCTACTACAATCACACTGGAGGATAAGAATGGTTGCATAAATGTAAGTGCGGTTTATTGTCCACCACGGTTCAATACTAAGGAGGAAATATTCAGAGAATATTTTAAAGATCTTGGAAATAGATTCATCTGTGGAGGAGACTGGAACAGTAAACACACACACTGGGGGTCACGATTGACAACCACCCGAGGCAGGGAGCTGAAGAGATGTATGGACAACCTCGGAATATCATCATTATCTACTGGTGAGCCTACCTACTGGCCATCAGATCCGAATAAGATTCCTGATCTGTTGGACTTTTTCATCATAAAGGGCTTTTCCGACAACTATCTAGACATTGAAAGCTGCTGGGACACAACCTCTGATCACTCGCCTATAATATGCACCCTGAGCAGAACAATAATATACAGAGAAACACAGACAAGACTTTATAACCACAGAACCGATTGGGTGCTATTTGCCGATTATTTGGAGGCGGAAACAGAATTGAAAATAAAATTAAAAACTGAAGCTGACATAGATGATGCAACATTCTATATAACCAACCTAATACAGGAAGTTGCATGGCGATGTACACCACAATTGAAAACCATAAGTAAAACTACTAACATACCTCTGCAAATACGAGAAAAACTTGTGGAGAAAAGAAGACTTAGAAGAGTCTGGCAGCTGAGCAGACATTCGTATGATAGAAGACTCTATGAAAAAGCAGCTAAAGAACTGAGGGAAATGATAACAGAGAATGAGAACTATACATTTGAACAGAAACTGTCATCTTTATCTGCTAAAAGGTGTGATGATTACTCTTTATGGAAATTCACAAAGCAGTTCAAGAGACCACAACAATCAGTACCACCATTGAGAGCTCAGTCGGGAGCTTGGGCCAAAACTCCTAAAGAGAAAGCCGAGATCTTTGCTCAACATTTAAGTCAAGTGTTTGTACCAAACTCTTCAACAAGGAGTGATTTCGAAAAGGAGGTAAATGAATATCTCGAGAGCGATCAGCAGCTATCACCACCTATAAAACTTATAACACCAAGAGAACTACAAAGAGCAATAAGAATGTTGAGCAACAAAAAGGCTCCAGGATTTGACTTAATCACTGGTGAAATCCTTAAACATCTACCCAGAAAACCAGTCGTCTTCCTGACTATGCTGTTCAATGCCATAATGAGAATACAATACTTTCCTAGATTGTGGGGCGTCTCTCAAATATGCATGTTGCTGAAACCTGGAAAGGTGCCCACAGATCCGAGCTCATATAGGCCAATTAGTCTTTTGCCAGTACTATCAAAGTTATTTGAGAAAATATTCTTGCAAAGACTTAAACCAATATTAGAAGAAGAAGCCATAATACCAGATCACCAATTTGGGTTCAGGGAGCGACATAGCACAGTGGAACAAGTACATCGTATAGTGAACAAGATAAGACAATCACTGGAGCAGAAAGAATACTGTGCTGCGGTGTTCCTGGACATCCAGCAGGCATTCGATAGGGTTTGGCACAAAGGTCTTTTGTATAAGCTAAAAAGTTTTCTACCTAATTCATATTATATGGTGCTTAAGTCCTACCTACAAGACAGAAAGTTCCAAGTTAAATTTGGCGAAGAAGTATCCGTTCTGTATGATATTGGGGCGTCTGTGCCACAGGGATCTGTGCTCGGTCCTGTGCTATATTCTATATACACAGCGGACCTACCATGCAATACAGATGTAGTAACAGCGACATATGCAGATGACACCGCATGTCTTGCAAGTCATAAAGATCCGGCTTTGGCATCAGAAAAACTACAAAATCACCTGTATGAAATTGACGAATGGCTGGAAAAGTGGAGAATAAAGCCAAATGTTACTAAATCTCTACAAATAACGTTCACACTCCGCAAAGGAGACTGCCCAGCTGTAACGTTACGGGGGCAACAACTGCCTACAGAAAATTGTGTAAGATACCTGGGACTCCATCTAGACCGGAGGTTAACCTGGGCAACCCATATAAAAACAAAGAGAAAAGAAGCAGATTTACAATTTAAGAAGTTCTACTGGCTGATTGGGAGACAATCATCCCTCAGTTTAAACAACAAAATGCTGGTCTATAAATGCATAATAAAGCCTATATGGACTTATGGGATTCAACTCTGGGGATCTGCCAGTAATTCCAACCTTGAAATCCTCCAAAGGTTTCAGAATAAAACACTGAGGGCAATCTCAAATTCACCATGGTTCGCTAGAAATGTAGAGATACACGAGTACTTGGAGATGCCGACAGTCAGGGAGGAGGTGAGCAAATACTGTACCAAATATAAGGAAAGGCTAAAACATCACACAAACCAACTTGCTAGAGAAATTGTGGAACAAACCCACAAGACCACCACAAGACTGAAAAGATGGCAAATATTACAGTTGGACCAAAGATGCTAGTGGCTTGGACTGAATATTGGAAGGCTGGACTAGATTGCTACGTGAATTAGTAAAAACCGAGGGAGAGAATTTACTGGAATACCCCTCCTCATGAACACAAACAAAAAAGCAAGACAAAACATCTGATTATGACCTAAGTCGATTGCAGATATAAAAAGGGGGAAAAAAAAAAAAAAAAAAAAAATTAAGCATTAATGCATGTCCACCACTAATTAACTTATTCATCTTTTCACTTTGAACTTTAGGCGCACACTTGACGTCAAAGTCGCGAAATCCAAAATATTGAAATTGTCGGCCACAGCCTGTCGTCGTGACTAGTCGCTCATTCCAAGTTTTAATTGATACCATAATTACTTAAAGATGTTCTTTGACCGTAAAGTATGAAAATGAAAAAGTAACTAATAAGTAGTATTTTACAATGTAAGTAATTTATGTTAAGAGAGAATATGAGAAGACAAAATCAGTCAATTACAACTGCATGTATGTATGTATGTAAAACTGTAAATAAAAAAGTATTATACATTAAATAGAATATCAGTCTGCACATTTTTGTTGCAAAAGTACACATATACCTACCTACAATAAGGCGATTATCACACGGCACTGCGTTCTGGCGCAGGACGTATGCATAAGACGACGGTACCCGGTGCTATGTAAAAATTGCCTAATAACAAGACAATGTATAGTTAACATATCAAAAAATGTCATCACCCACCTCGTCACTGGTGGGGTCGAGGGACTGCTTGTAGCGGGCGCGCGGCTGCCAACGCTCGTACTGCAGCTGCAGCGAGTGCCCGATGCTCTCCAACGCTTTGCTCGGTGAAAGTGAGTTGGGGTCTGTTCAAAACCGCAGAATATTGTTGAAACAAGTAAACTTTAAGATGTTTAACCATTTTCATTAATGGTAGCAGTGTCAGTTGTTATTGCTCTTTTGTACTTACTACATTTTTTTTTTTCAATATTTGCACGACTAATTAAGTCAACATGTGGACATGCCAATTATTATCTTGTAAAACCATGTAAAAGCAAATAAATATTTCTGATTTCAGCACTAAGAACTGTCATAAAATAGTAAGAATAGAGAATAGAAGTACAAAATTTTTAATTGCTGATGGTATTCTTCCATATTAATTTTTCTTACCAAAAAAGACAAGGCAAAGCCAAAGGCAGGTAATTCAAGCTTACCTATCCAACACTCGAGCCGGGCACATGGCTGCGTCTTCACGATGTCTGGGGGATCTACTCCCACATTCAGGCACAGAACTAGTGCCACACAGTGTGTCTTGTACTGAAATGAGACCTTGTATTAACTTATAAGTTACATTTTAGAATTAGGTGTTTTTTGGCTTTATTAAACTTTGTAAGTTACGATCTAATAATCTAATTGAATTCAAATTAGTTGAGATAGTTACCACACCTATAAAAAAACATAAGTAAAAATACAATTTTTTACTGGTGAAGTTTTTACAACAAACATTACTTCACCATTCACCAATATTTTGCTACAGATATTTATCTCTAAAATTATTGTTGATACAGCAATGACAATCAAAATAAATCGTGTGACGTGCGACTGAATCTCGTAAACGAAAAAGAAGGTATAGATACACAATACTTTTACAATATATTATTGGGCATGAAATTTTACATAATTTTTTTGTTTTTGTATGGTAACAGCTATAAAATATCGTAAAAAATTCCACCCATGTGCGTTTGTTTTCATCACACCGCCCGATACGCAGTTACGGCTTCGCCCGTTTTCGAGCTCCGCGATAGCCTCTCACCTTTTCTTTCACCCTCCACGAGTGCTCCACGCGCTCGGCTCCTTTTATCACCTCAAGATGCCGGGGTTTATCGAAACTCAGGGGCAAATCCCAGTCATCTACGTCCGAAGAAGATTCACTGTCACTTTGTCCACTGTTCTTCTCCTCATCTTTTACGGCAAGATAAGGAGGCATGTCTGTCATTTTCTCTCTACACTTTCTCACAAAGTAGTCAGTTTCTCTTGTTCAACGTTTCAGGACACAACACGAAAACATTTTTAAAACCTCGTAAAATACGAAATCATGTGCGCGTCCATTTTTCAACACCACATGGGAATAAACAATAAATTAAGTTTCATTTCATGCATTATATGTTATGTGTTATCATTTTGGAATAAGTGGTTTTGAGAAACAAATACAGAAAAAATATTTTAAGAAATATCCGGTTTAAAATCATATCAATAAATAATATTCTTTTAATACCGAAATTGATTTTCAGCCGATTGTTTTGCTTCGAAAAATAACAATGTGTGTAAAGGAACACATTATATAAATTTTGTCTATGGTTGCATTGGATACCGCTGCTTTGGCCGTATGGATATGTATCCAAAGCCGTAAAACCTATATAGAAAAAAAAAAAAAAAGATACCGCTGCTGCACCACGAATGAGCTGCACTGTATGAACCATAGTATGAACTGCTGCAAGATTTTTTTCATTTTCATCTACTACCTACATTCTCTCTCTCCTCCACCAAATTTTAATTTAATATGGAATAAATAAACTATGAGCACTAGACTCGGACTGAAGGCTATCGTTTTACCTAGCGCTCACCAGTTGGCGCTACTGTAGAGTAAGGGTTTATTCCCGAAATCCCGACACTCTTGATTTGAGTAGGTACGATACGAGTAATTTTAGGGTTCCGTAGTCCTGACAAGGAACCCTTATAATTTTAAGGAGTGGCGACAACGGGAATAAACCGACTGGAGGAATATCGCCGCATTTAAAGCTAGTCTGAAACTGCCTTTATTCCCACAAGTTATTCCTACTCATTAGATAAATAGAGTAATACATTCGGTAATTGAAATCAAAAATATGCTTCATAGGCCAGTAGAATTAAACACAAAAATTGATTAAATCGGAAATAATTCCTACAAAAGATTTTTTGCTTTAATGGCTTCATTGGTTGCCCATTAAGACTCTCCTAAGTTTTCGACTTCGACCAGAGAGCAGAAATAACGCTCTCTGACTTCGACGGAGTTGTGCTTAAGTGGTGGGAGCCCCCGAAAGGGGCGCTTTTTCGGTTTTCCGGTTATACCGCGTAAAGGACTTACCCTATCGAAAAGTGGTCTTCATGACGGTTAAAGGGCACTTAATCTTGCATTGAATAAGACCAAATTCATATGTTTTGGACAAACCGTTCTCGCGCTAAAGTTCGGCATAGTAGAAAATATACGTATAATTAATGACCCTCTCCACGTCCAATGGCTTGTTCCCACATGCTTCCAAGCCTTGTAAAGGGTCGCCTTAACCAGTGTAACCCTAACAAGGCTCACGAGTTTGATTCGCTTATCCTTGTTCGTCCCAGCCGTCCCTTAACTGCGGTTGCTGCACCTCTTCCTGGCACTCTCCTGAACGACTCTGTGTTACCTAATGTGGCTGCCCCTCTTCCTTGTACCCTCCTGTACCATTTCATTGCTTAGCCATATGCCTGGTCCAAGGTTTGACGCCACAAAATCAACTTCGTACGAGTGAAAATAGTTTAAATACTATTTCCCGTGCTTGCAACATTTTTCTTTACTGCTTCGCCTCTATTAGTCGTAGAGTGATTGTATATATCCTATAGCCTTCCTCAATGTATGAGCTATTCAACACAAAAATAATGATTTCAATCAAACTAGTAATTCTTAAGATTAGCGCGTTCAAACAAACAAACAAAAAACTCTTCAGCGTTTTAATATGAACTTGTTGTTGTTGATTTTTGGCGTAGAACCTTAGACCAGGCATACGGCTAGGCAACGTAGTCATGCAGGAGGATACAAGGAAGAGGGGCAGCCACAGTAGGTAACACAGAGTCGTTCAGGTGAGTGCCAGGAAGAGGTGCAGCAACCGCAGTTAAGGAACGGCTGGGACGAACAAGGATAGGCGCATCAAGCTCGTAAGCCTTGATAGGGTTACACTGGTTGAGGTGGCCCTTTTCAAGACTTGGAAGCCTGTGGGTAACAAACCATTGGACATGGAGAGGGTCATTAATTATACGTATATTTTCTACTTTGCCGAACTTTAGCGCGAGAACGGTTTGTCCAAAACATATGAATTTGGTCTTATTCAATGCAGGATTAAGTGCCCTTCAACCGTCATGAAGACCACTTTTTGATAGGGTAAGTCCTTTACGCGGTATAACCGGAAAACCGAAAATATGCCCCTTTCGGGGGCCCCCACCACTTAAGCACAACTCCGTCGAAATCGAAAACTTAGGAGAGTCTTAATGGGCAACCAATGAAGCCATTAAAACAATAAAATCTTTTGTAGGAATTATTTCCGAATTAAAAGCTAATTCTACTGGACTATCATGAATTAATTAAAACAATAAGAGCTAACCCGCGAATAATTAACACTCTTGATCACCGCACACCCACTTCCTCCTTTGGGCCAGGAGCTGGGTATAGATATGGCAATACAATTTGATAATTTATTCATTAGTAGATAACTCTATTTCTCATTAAATGTAACGAGTATGTAAATAAAGGGCAGATAAAAACGATAGCTATGTAAATTATTATAGGGTTTTAATGATATTACCAGGAAAATAATACAAGCCACTTCATTACAAAAGCACCACAAAGTGATAACATTAAAAAGAACAATAATAATTGGCTGCTGATTAATACATACAGAATAGAATATTAACATTGCTTATTATATTATGTATAGGTATTTATTGTTTACATGGAAAAATATTGTTTAGAATTATATACAGTTACTATCTAATTCTATGCATACAATGATGAGTTGAGCTTTATAAAATATTGCTAGAAAGTGTCACATTTTGACGGCACTGCACACAGTGCAAGTGTTGCACTGCACACCGTCAGGGAGGCACTCTATGTGGAACGAATGTCGGCAATTATACACCTTCAAGTCGGAAGCATTCGACAAGTCTTTTATGATGATACGGCCTTGACACACGCAGCACAAGAAGTCATCTGTGACAGATATACCTCTCTGTTGGCCTATGATCAACTTTTCATGCAAGTCAAAGTAATTTCTCAGGGTAATAATCTTGCAAGCGTCCTGTACTGAGAGTTGAAGATGGTAGTCACACATCATTTTCGCAAGGGACTCCTTTAAGTCTTTTATTTCACACCCCGGCTGTATATTTTGTATTAGCATTCTAGGGTCAACATAATTTCCTATCCTCTTTAAGAGTAATGTAACATATTCTGGCTTGTTCACCGTTTGTTTGATAAGATCAGTCCACAGCTCCTTATCATTATGCTCTTGACAGAAGTTTATGGCCTGGTTTATATCATTCAACTGCTCTATTATTATTTGCAAAGCTTCTCTCGTATTCCCAATACGACCCAGAAGGAAAACCATTTCTGGATAAAAATTGTTACTCTGACAAACATCTAGTGCCTCTTGTATCGGATAACTGTCGCTGCATTTCAAGAATGGCAAAAGTTTATTTCTTGCATATTTAGCATACAGCCTCACTAATTTCCCATGATACCTCCCGTTGGGCTCAATCTTGCTGTAGGCGTCCAAGTACTTGTAGAGGAACATGTCGTGGCTGTCCAGCTGCCGCTCCACCACCTCCACCGGCACCTGCAGCTGCAGCGACACGACGGTCTTGTCCAGGAGAACGGAAATGGCTTTATCACAGTCTAGAGTCATCAAATCAAGGATTTTATCATGGATAACATCATACATATTGTGTTTGGTTATCAATGTGAATACATCTTTGTGTTGCAGTTTAAGGTATGTGTTCAGTGCTTTGTCATACTTCTTCTGATAGCAGTAAAGTAAAGCTAAAGCTTCTAAATAAATATTTTTGTCAGACTCTGGAGCATTTGTTTCTTTCAACCACAGTATATGGTCAAGTACAGTCTTGATTATCACACTGGTATTATACAGTTCTGGATTCCATTCTTTAACCAGTTTAAGGAATCCAGGGGGATCCACTTTCAAATATTCATAGAATATGAGTTCATAGATGTGTTTACTCAAAGCTTGCTCTGGGTTCTTGGGCACATAAGGACTGATGGTTCTAAGTTGATTGACTTCTGCAAACTTCATCAATTGAGATTCCCAAAGCGATTTATCTGACTTGCAAATTCTAGCACACAATATGGCAGCTTCTTCAAACAAATGCTCAGATAGTAAGTGGTCCAGGTATTGCTCACCAACCTTGACCACTGAGTGCTTGGAAGTCTTCCCACCAACTTCTTCTAGAACTGTGATAGCTTTCTCAAACCTGCCGTGCTCAGTCAGCCAGTTCACCCTGTCATCAATGTCATATGGGCTGGCAATCACTATGTCTTTTGGTGAGACAATAAAGAACCTGTTTTCTTCAATGAGCATATCTAAGTAATAGTCATTGCAGGAATATTCTTCATAGCCTCGTATGTTCAAACTATCAGTGGATACTTCACAAAACTCACAGTCTCTGTAATCTGCTACTGATAATACAGGTCTTTGGGCTTTTTTGGTTTTGGGGTCACATTCTTTTGGCACTCCTAGTAATACAAGTTGGTCATCCAGTGGTCCCAGGCCACTAATGAAGTAGTCAGTCTGAAATGTGTGTACTGGATCCACAAGATATTCCGTCACATCTCTTGTTTGCAGTTCCAACTGACTTCTTTTTCTTATAACACATATTCTAATGGTGTCTACCCAGCCAATCATTAATGTTTTGGGAGCTGACCAAAGGAGGTTACATCGGTAATCTTCAATGGACCTATTTGGGCTTTTTTCCCATTGAATAAGGCCAAGAGAACACCTTGCCACCAGATCGTAAACTCTTACTCCGACTTCACTGGCCCAGGCAACGAACCGGTCGTGCCAGGCCATGGCCTGGACGTATCCTTCACATTCACACAGGACTGTACTTCTTAGGCGATTCAAAAAGGTCTTCTCATACAGTGTCAACTTATTGTCACCTGAAAATAACAACATTTTCATATTAAGACGACGTAGTAACAAGGAAATTAAATAAAAATTAACAATTACCTTATGTGTCATAATGAGTAACAGTAAAATATTGTACAAATAATATTTAGTACGAAAATATCTTGTCTATTAGAATTTTGAAAACTATAGTGCTGTTAAATTAGGTACTATGTAATATAACAATACCTGTCAGGAACCTTCGCCCAGATCCAGACTTGAAGTAATAGGGGTCTAGGGCCACAGACTTCACTACCCTGCTCAGTGACAGGCTGTGAGTGTTGTCGTTGGAGTACAGGCCGTAGACGAGCACTTTGCCGTCGTCGGAGCAGCTCGCGATGTAGTCCCCGTTCACGTCCACGGAGATCTTGTTGACGGCGATCGCGTGAGCCTGCAGCTCCATGTCCTTCCCGTCCTGGGAGATGGGCACTGTGTTACCTTCGTGGTCCAGCAAGTGAATCACCCCCCACTGGGTGCCCAGGCAAATAAACTTCGTGTGCACACAGATACAGCTCACGGCATCTTTCATGAGGATATTCTGAACATCGTTGCCCATTCTATCGTATTTGAGTTTGGGCTCCTCATCAGGAGGCAGGCTATCACAACTTTCTACATTGAGGGCCATAGTTTTTGCTATATCACATTAACGCAATTAACGAAATCGAGAACACTGCATTTTACGTCTAATAAACACAAAATACAAAATAAATGTATCACTTTTTCCTTTTTGTTCCTATTTATTTTGATGACTTTGACATTTTGTTTTAATATATTGGCAACAACAGGCTAAGAAATATACAAAGTTCAAAATATTATTGTCTTTGGTATATTACGTAGAGAAAAAAAAAGTGCAATTGGCGGGAATTTTTAAAGAAACTTTGTAGCACTTACTTGAAGTCACTTGTTACAAGTTTGCGAATGCAAAATTATTTATCAAAATGAATAGTTCCTTCGACATAAATATCTACAAGAACAAACTGTCTTTGTTTGGTCAGAAGGTTTTGCGCGGTTTGGTGGAACAATGGCATGAAGGTAAGTTTAATAGGTTTCTTTAAATTCACATACGTACAGAATCAATTATTTTTAACTTCAAACTGAAGTGAAATATCTTTGTTTAGAAAAGGCGAGTATTTACAAAGGACATCATCGAAATGAGGTTATGCAGTCTAACCAAGCATTTAGGTAGGTAAAACTTACATGTAGTAAGTTATATTTAAAACTAATAATAACTACTGACTTTAACGACATTAACCTATCTACAAAGTAAAAGTAATAAAATAAATATTAACTTTGTTAATGTCTGGTTTATTTTATTTATTTAAAGACTTTATTGCACACACAACAATGTTCTGTACAAAAAGGCGAGCTTAATGCCATACGTCATTCTCTACCAGCTGAGTTTAGATATTTTTAGTCTGAATATCTTATAGTATTTAGGATTAAGGAATAGGTATATTGCAGGGATTCAAACAAAAGAGTCAAGAATTCAAACTACCAAAATGATTCGTTTGATTCATTTGAACAAACCGCCATTTCATACCATAGAAAAAAGTGCACATTGAAATTCCTTGAAAAAGAGAACCCGATTGCTTCTACTCCGTTTGAATTGTTGAACTACAAAGCAACGGTCGAGAAAAACGACACTATTCTTAGCAGGGACAATCTAGTGATGTCAGCAGTCGAATTTAATAATCATTCTACTCATACTTATTTCGATGGACAACCTGGATTGAAAATAATAACCGATCAGAATACTGTGGAAAAACGAGTGGACGCAATTCCAGTAGTAGATCTAGAGTCTCCTCGTGTATCGCCAATTAATATAAAAGACGTATCATGGAGTAATATGTTTGATACAGATTTATTTCAGGATAGCATTGATCAACTTCATAATAATGAAAGCAGTAAAGAATGCTTGACAGCTATTGGAGACAAGGAAGAAGTTATTTTGGTTGAACCAGAGACAGTCGTGGAAACATTTAAAAAACCTAACATCAAACGGAAGAAATCCGATAACTTAACTAAACCCAAACCTAAGAAAGAGAAAAAGCTTGCCGCATCTAATACCAAGAATATTAAAATTTCTAGAGAAGAAAACTTTAAGAAAGTGGTTAAGAATTGGTTAAACGACGTTGAAAGTAATTCGTTACTCAATATTGCTGAACCAGATACTACAGAGCCGATTCTAATAAACGATAAGGAAGAAAGTGACAAAGTTGTTCATCCTAAAATTAGTATATCCAAAGAAAAAACAAAGAAAAGGGTTGTTCAAGCACAGTTAGCGAATAAAGAGGGGAAGATGAAGTTCCGAAAACCAACAAATGAAAATGCCAATGACGACAAAGAAGATACTGCTATTGATGATAAGCGAGGCAAAGACTTCAAAGAGGTAATAAAAGAAAAAAAGAAGAGCAAGTTTGTGGCTCCAATAAAATCTCAAACTCCTGTTAAAGATCAGACTTACGAAATTCTCAGCTTAGATTCAAATAACTTGGAAATACACGCTAACACATTGACTGACATAGCAAATACTGACGTTTTCCTGGTGATAACTTATAGGTAAAGGATAATAAAGTAAGTTTATGTATTACTGACGCTCTTACAGCAATTCTAACTGAACCTTTATTAAACTATGCTTTCAGAAACGGTTTCTGCCAGTTGAACTGTAACTACACCGAAGATTCTTGTGTTTCCGAAGGGATACTAATTCATGCGAATGATGTCTTCTTCTTTTTTAAAACTTTTGATTCGATTCACTTACGGTTTGTATAATCAATAATTTCATACCTGCTGTTTGTCATTGGATTTATGTACGCCCCGGTATAAGTTGTGTAAGGCATCAATATTTTTTCAGAACGTTACTAGCAAAAGTTTTGGAAGCTAATACGATCGTCTGTTTTGATGGCAAGAGTGCTTTAATTTTCTTGTCTCTCCTGGATATCAATGTGAAGCCTTTAGCAATATGTGACACAAAGGTGAATACCTAAGTACCTACCTACTCAACCAAAATGCATTTGTTAATATTTATTGCCTAAATGAGTTTGAATGCATGAATAACCTTGGGCTGGTTACTTTTCTTTAGACACATAATATTTTTTCAGATTGGAGGAGCTCTCTTAGACCCCGACAATCCGCCCGAGTCGTTCGCGGACTTGCAGAAGCTGGTGTCTCACGCAGCCGAGTACACCATCGCCACCGACTGCGCCCTGCAGAAGGCAGCCTGGTACACGACGCTGCTGAGAGAAACCACTTCTAAGCTCAGAGATTTGCTGATCGAACACTCCTTGACGAATATCTTTGATAACGTGGAAATGCGATTATTGCCCATTATTGCGGGTAATTAACAATTTTTGAGAAAAAAACTTTTTTATCCTGTACGTAATTTTTATATACCCGATGTACGTAATTATATTGATATACGTTATGTTCAGGTATATTACTGTTAAGTCCACAAAACGTACGTCAGAAGGTTGGAACAGTAAAACATGTGATTTCTTTAAAGGTGTATTTGCGACTAAAATAAAACAGGCGGGCTCAGCCGCCGACACATACAAGGAACAGTATAACTATTGTTTTCTATTGTTAATTGTATTGGGCAATGATGTGGGAACGCAGGGCGCTACTCAATACGCTCTGTTCATTCATGGAGTTAATTTATTACTCTGATTAATGTGTACCTACATNAGTTGTCTCAGACTGAAATAAAATATTCAACTTATGATAGGGAATTGTTAGCTGTTTACATGGCCATCAAATATTTTAAGAATTTGTTGGAAGGTCGCGTCCTAACAATTTTTACTGACCATAAACCACTAGTATATGCGTTTTCTAAACTCAATAATAATGATAAGGAAAGTCCTAGACGAGTTAGACATCTTTCATATATTAGCGAGTTTACTACCGATATTCGCTATATTAGCGGACCGAATAACGTAGTGGCAGACGCATTATCACGTATAGAGACAGTAGATTGCAGGGCCGGATCTACCTATGGGCTGATTGGGCTGCAGCCCAGGGCCCCGGGGTTACAAGGGGCCCCCAGATCCCGCTAAAAAGTAGGCCATAATTTGAAAAAAAAAATAGTTGTCTGTAAAATCGGTTTACGGACGATATTTTTACGTGACAACGTCATAAGAAAATATTGATTAAAAATTGCATACTTTTATGTATGAATGTAGTTGAGGGGGAAATACGTGTAAAAGGTTGTTTTCATGCTGTTTTTCATTAATTTTTTAAAGTTAATAATGGCAACCCTGAGATCAATGAACCAATGTATGTGCGCGTCTATGGAACGGAACGGGGATTTCCCTGTATTTTTATCTAGTCGCAGAAAGATTTAAAAGGGACACGTTAAATGTTGCGTTGGATAAGCTAACTATGGACTTAAATAAAAGAAGCCAAGTCTATGAAATATGTAGCAAAATTTTAATTTTTTAATGGATTTGCAAGACAAAAATATCAAAAACATAGATTTGTAAAGTGCACGTCATATTATTGATTACTATCCAGATGACGTAGACGAGCATTTAGTGAATGAGTGCATTCAATTAAAATCATACGTACTCCAATCTAAGCTAGAGTCTTACAACTCTTGCAGTGACATTTTTATGATCATGTATGAAAATAAACTAATTGACGTGTTCCCTAATTGCTATACCATTGTAAAGATTTTTTTAACTTTACCAATAACTAGCTGTGAAGCAGAACGCTCTTTCTCAAAGATGTCCTATACAGTGTGAGTCACGATAAAGTGTACATATGAAATTAGATGAAACTAGACCTATTTTTATCGACAAAAAAGAGGTCAAAATTTTTTTTAGTTTTTTTTTTTATTTTTTATAGCTAGAATTTTTTTTCTTCCAATTACTTATTGTAAAGAAAACGTAATTACTTTTAAACTAAGAGGTATATCCTGATAAAATAAAAACAGTAATAATGCTAAATAACAGGCGATACTAAAAAAATATATAAAATACTCAGAAAATGCCAACAAATGATAAAAAATGATAATTTTTGAAAAAAATCTACTTCTAAATTCGTGTTTTTTTGATTATTTGATAAATTTCTCAAAATCCCCCTATAACAGGTAGTTTTTATTACTTTGTATTATTCTCTATCGTATCACCTTTGTAAAACCAAAAATCACATGTCTCTATCCCTGTCACAACGTTTGCAATAATCGTTTGAACTAAGCTAACGCTTCGTTAACAACGAAACTGAAAATGGCTCTAGATTTGTAATTTTGATAAAGACAAGTTAGATTTCAAATAAAAACAAAAGATTTCGAAGTAAAATAAGCATTTAAGTTTAAATTAAAATTGTCCCTACCTGTAGCGGAGAATAATGTTGTGGTAGGCCTTTGTTCAACCTATCATAGCAAATGTTGTGATAGGGATAGAGACATGCGATTTTTGGTTTTACAAAGCTAATACGATAGAGAATAATACAAAGTAATAAAAACCACCTGTTATAGTGTCATTTTTTGGAGAAATTTATCAAATAACCAAAAAAACACGAATTTAAAAGCAGATTTTTTTCAATAAGTATCTTTTTTTTTTGTTAACATTTTCTGAGTATTTTATGTATTTTTTTAGTATCGTTTATTATTTAGCATTAACCTTTAACTATGGACGTGAAAAAATAATCACACTCCCATGGACGTCGGGTCTCACAGACCCCTATCTAAAATTCTTCTTTTTTTCATATCTGAACCAATTTGAATTTATTAAAGAGTTGCGATATATCTAATAACTATTAATAAAGGATTTAGTAGTAAATGTTAATCAACTTTTAACCATCATTTAATTATTTTTTGCAAATTTAAATAACTTAGACATTTTTCAGTGTTCATTGACTTGCCATCACATATCGATACCTCTGGGCTCAAAGGTCGTAAAGGACAAAGTACGACTTTTCAGGAGAAGCAAAAAACGTTTTTTTATTTTTTTATTCGATAGTAACTTTTTTGTTTTTAGAGCTATTAAAATATGACCTAGGAAGAAAGTGCTTAGAATTCACAGCATTTTCCGAGGAGGTATTGAAAAACTGGACTAGAGCTATATTTACTNAAAATATTCAACTTATGATAGGGAATTGTTAGCTGTTTACATGGCCATCAAATATTTTAAGAATTTGTTGGAAGGTCGCGTCCTAACAATTTTTACTGACCATAAACCACTAGTATATGCGTTNTTTCATGTGAATTTCAGCTTGATACGTTCACGCGTTCTTGAGATAAAGGGTCTTGACAGATGGACGGACGGACAACAAAGTGATCCTATAAGGGTTCCGTTTTTTTCCTTTTGAGGTACGGAACCCTAAAAATTGAGAATTTACTTATAAACTACAGGTTTGTACGGAACCCTCGATGCGCGAGTCCGGGTCGCACCTTCCCGGTATTTTTTTTTTGGATGAATATTTGAATATGAATATTTTCCGTTCCCAGGTTCTGCCTTTTTGACGCGTTTCCTATTCCGAATAAAAACAAAAGTTAAAATTGCAGGAGTAATTTATTTTTGCCATTTTACAATCCTTCCTTTGCCGTGTGTTTAAACACTGACAACTCTGACATCATTTTTTTTTTTGTATATGTCATACTGAATAAACATAAATATTGTTTTCTTTCTTTCTTTATTTCAATACTGCCTACCTAGAAAAAGTAACATTTGTGACAGTTTTTATTTCCAATGTGCTTGCCACAACATAGTACAAAAAGACGTCAGAGCGAAGCGAATTCGGAATTACATCTGTCACTTTTGTAACTTTGTCTAGGGGGCTGGTGATCGTGCATGGTACCTACATGGACTGATACAGGGCAGTAGACATCTCATCATCATCATCATCATTTCAGCCATAGGACGTCCACTGCTGAACATAGGCCTCCCCCAATGCTTTCCATGTTGATTGTTGTTGAATGTAGACATCTGTCATGGTCTAAATCATCCTCCAAGATAATCTCTCTCAGACTCTGTTCAGAGTATCAGCTTGGTTCCCTGTTCACGACCATAGTGGGCACAATTTCACAAAATTTAACACTAGTACTTACTTAGGTCATGTTCTAACAACATCTCTTATTTTCAACAAAACATTTACAGAACTGTAGAAAAGTTTTTAGTGATGCTCCTTCGTTAGCGCGGCTATCGATGTATCATCATTATTAGTAGGTACGCCTATTATTTTACGATGTAGCTTATACCGACATTTTCCTTTCGATTTTCTCAAACCAAACAAGAGAAACAAAACTAGATCAAAATATATTCTAGAAATCCATAATTTTGGAGTCAGTGCCATTGAATAGGTCAACATTATGATTAATCTAATGTATGGACGCAAAGGCACCTCCAACAAAACACGGTGGCATCAGTAGTAGGTATTTTGCAATGAAAATTGTCACTCTAATCACTGAGCTACAGAAACAAAACAAACACTGCAGAACTGTTTGCAAAACGAAAATAAAACAAAGAAAAATTACGCAATCTCAGGAAATGGATTTTCTCAAGTGAAAAATCATGTTCGTTATCACAATGCATTCTATTATTTAAGTTGAATAGAATATCGACAATTTAAAATTTCCTCTCGAGTAGCATCACTATTTTCCATTCCGTTGCTTTTTATGGAACAGACAAAATCTAGCTCAGAATTTTCAGGGAATGCTTGTTACATTTCAGAGAACTCTTTTACAAAAAGGTCGATCCAGATCGTTTGCATTTCGGCTGGAATTGCTGAAGTATGTTCAAGTTTTTAAGGGTTCTTAAAAATGCTTGTTTGTTTTTTAAATATTACATTTGAGAGGTCTCATGACTTTGACTTCTCTAAAGTTCCATCATAGAGTAGGTAGGTACCTAAAACCATTTTAGTTTTTCTATTTCAGCTTATCATCATCATCTTCATTTAGACATGCTTTTATAGATTTTAGCTATAAAATAAATTAGTCCCTGAAAACACACCTTTTGTACAAAGGCCGCTTGTAAACATCCGTTTTTTTGACCGGACAACGGCCCGATTTTTTCACCGGATTTAGCGGTGGTGTATGGTTTATAATGAACGTGTGCACATGCATCGGACATAGGTCCGGCGAGAAAATTGACAGCAAACAAAGGATATCCGTTTTTTGACGGTCCGTCGTCCGGTGAAAAAACGGATGTCTACAAACGGCCTAAGCGAGAAAATACGAAAAAAAATTGTAGCGGAGACTGTTTTGTTAAAAAGAATATATGACAGTGAATGTTTGTTGTAATAAGTTTAAATTAACTTTTAAAAATTTTGCGTTGCTTTTAGAATACATAATACAGTTCTCGAGTGGCGTAGTGTAGGCAAGTCTCCCACTCGGTGGACCGACGATTTAGAAAAAAAATAGCTGGAAGGACCTGGATGCGGATTGCGCTGAATCTGTCTTTTGGGAAGGCTTTTGCCCAGCAGTGGGCGTCATTTCGTTGAAACTAATAAATGAACGAACAAATTCTAAGAATACTAAGGTATCCCGAAAACTATTTTGTTTGGAAAAAGCCTCTTGTTTGAGAC